CAACCAAACACGCACTGAGATAGACCCGACGACAATCGGCCTTGGAGATTGCTGAGTTGCAATCTCCACACAATAAATGCTGTTGCCGGCCAGTGGCGTTATCAAGAAACTCCCGACACGAACGGCAAAGGAGATGACCTGTGTACGGAGACATGAGTGGCGCTACCAGTAGGGTTTGTCGCGAAGCCTCACCACAAATCGACCGATATACCCACGAAGACTCGTCGCTGTCGCGAAGTCTGTCCTCACAGACCGCGCAGACGATGTGCATGGTGCGCAAAGCTGTCAAGATGAGTCAGTGGGGCTCGAGGAATGATCAACGCACGCAGAGCCAGACAAGATCGGACTTTGCCGAACAGTGCCAAACAAACTGACGTCTTCGGTGGCACCGAACCCAAAAAACTCAGGAAACCCATAGAATCAAGGAAATCAATGGAACACAGGCACTCAGGGGACAGGATCTGCGCTCTCGCGCAGGTACATGTGGGTCCATGAGTGTTCAGGGCTTCTCTAGTAAGGTCTTCCGGAAGATCCCGTCAGCTTTCGATGGGTCCTGCGACCCATCGGCGCGAATGCTCTTGAGTACTTGAGTACTTGAGATCGGTACCGGTGCTGTCGCGTGCAGGGGTGCCCCTCGGAGCGGAGGTGCGCATCGACATCTAGCGCTCAGGTGATCAAGGCCTCACGATCAGGCCTCAGGCCTCAAGCTTCAAGCTTCAAGCACAAGGTTCAAACGTTTCAAAGGTTCACATTTTATCAGATTCAGCGAGTCGCGTTGGAGCGCTTGAGTCAGATACCCAGCGATATAAAGCAAATCAACCGAGTTCAAATAAGCTAAGCTCGAGTTGGTTCGACCGTGCTCTGTCCGAGTGCGCCCGAATACACTACTTCCTGACGACGCCGCGCTATGTACACCTCCAGACGCCGATGCCCGAGCGTCATCTCTCCTAGACGGCAACACAGAGCGTTGCGCAGCGATCTACGCCTTGCGTCGTTTCTGCGCGTTCGAGTCGTCGTCGATCAGGAAACAGGGCTCCCCTTGCTCTGTGATGAACTTACCGCGCAAGGAACATCCGCATTTGCTGTCGACGGAGACCTCTGCCGACGACGTTGCTCCTCTGGTTGCGGGGCCGCGTCTTCATGGCTCAGAGAAGATACGCGCGCAGCAGACTGCAGTTTGTCAGATCCTGACAAACCTCCCGACAGCACAGAGAAGCTCACCGTCGCTCGAAGAGCAATAATTGCGTCGTACTCTCGGACGCATTCAGTGCGCACGGTGCCCGCCTTTCTCTGAAGCTCACGTATTTCACTTGTGATACGATCGAGGGTCCCGAAGTGCCTGGCAATGCTTGCGTGCTGCACGCGGACGTGTTTGGCAACGATATCGGTTCGAGCGGCCACGGATTTCACGGTTCGTTCGAGACGTCGCTGTTCCGTCGACAGAACGGCCAGCCGCCTGCAGGGGTGTAGATCAGTAGATTGTTTCGCACAGACAAGGGTCGTCAACCACATTATTTAGTGTGTCTTACACGTTCCGAACGTTAAAACCGGAGTGAGATTTGCCCGTTTCGAACGTGGCGGCCGGCGCCGGCCGGAGGGGTCCGGGTCCACGTTGCAGACGTGGACGTTGCCAGTGATCCGGCCGGAGATCATGCCGGCCGGTTCAGCCTCGTCCCCAACGTTGCGGCCGGCCCTGCCCTCCTCAAATACCACCTCCAATGTTGCGGCCGGGCTGTTTTCACCAGACGTTGCAACGCTCCGGCCGGAGCGCGTGCCAGCCCACCCCCCACTGCTCAACGCTCCGGCCGGAGTGCATGCCAGCCCCACCCCCCCTCCTCAATGTTGCGGCCGGCCTGTTTTCACCGGACGTTGCAACGCTCCGGCCGGACTACACCCCGGCCGCCCCCCCACTTCTGAACGATCTGCCCGGCCTCTTTCACCCAACGTTGCAATGCTCCGGCCGGAGGGTATGCCGGCCGGTCATCCCTCGTTCCCAACGTTGCGGCCGGAGCAGGCAGAATTCAAAGCGGCCAGGCAGTCCACGCTGCAAACAGTCCGGCCGGTCAATAGATATAGCATTGCAAACGAGCCGGCCGGCCTCAGGCCCTACCACTACAAATGGTCCGGCCGGACTTTTTGCCCGGCCGAAAACACAATGTCTCGGGCCGAGGGTACAGCCAAAACTCGGCCAAAGCAGCCAGACATTTTGCCGGCCGAGCTTTTGCTTCACCGACCAGGCAAGCATTGTCTCGGGCCGAAAAGTTGACCATTTTCTCGGGCCGAAGATTTGAGTACTGCCTCGGGCCGAAGAGTTGGGCATTTTCTCGGGCCGAAGATTTGGCCGAAGCTCGGTGAAAACAGCCGGGCTGTCAGATTGCCATATAAGGAAATTTGGTATTGACTGGTAGTACTTCATTGATAGACTATAGTATCAATTCCCTAGTGACCAAAGATGTCTAGTTAGGCCAGGATGTGCAAAACAAGATTTACTCACAGGCTTCTTTGCACAACAAGTTAATCAATTTCTGAAGCCAGTTTTCTTTTCCCACACTGTTTGACTATCTAGGATGTGTTGTTTCAATGCATAGAGTATATCCCCAACAGGAATAGTCTTATTCTTTGAAGCTGAATGCAGGACAACAGATAAGGGGTATACAGGTATGGTACCGTGCTGAACAATGTTGACTCCTGCAGCCAATGTACATTCAAAACAATGTTTCACCATCTAGAATAGTTCATTTCCTCACAAGGACTCAGTTCTCCAAAGGAATAGTCTTATTCACACAAGCTGAATGTGGTACAGAGTTAAGGGGATCATGCACTCCGGCCGGACCATCTCCTATGAGGATGAGGATTGGCCGGCCGGACTGTTACCAATGTAAATGTTTCTGTGGCAAGTGCAATGTGCATGCTGGTACAACATTTCAGTGTGACACCCAGACAGACAATAATCCAAAGTATGTCTCTCACAATATAATGCATATTCACCTTATCTTCATCCCCGAGTTCAGCTTCAAGGAATAAGACTATTCCTTTGGGAGACTTGCTTGTTGCATTGAAATGTGCTACTCTAGATTGTGGAACATTGTGGGGAAAGCATATTGGCTTCAGGAAGTGAACACAGTATGACATGTATACCCATACACCCTTGCCTTAACTCTGTACCACATTCAGCTTGTGTGAATAAGACTATTCCTTTGGAGAACTGAGTCCTTGTGAGGAAATGAACTATTCTAGATGGTGAAACATTGTTTTGAATGTACATTGGCTGCAGGAGTCAACATTGTTCAGCACGGTACCATACCTGTATACCCCTTATCTGTTGTCCTGCATTCAGCTTCAAAGAATAAGACTATTCCTGTTGGGGATATACTCTATGCATTGAAACAACACATCCTAGATAGTCAAACAGTGTGGGAAAAGAAAACTGGCTTCAGAAATTGATTAACTTGTTGTGCAAAGAAGCCTGTGAGTAAATCTTGTTTTGCACATCCTGGCCTAACTAGACATCTTTGGTCACTAGGGAATTGATACTATAGTCTATCAATGAAGTACTACCAGTCAATACCAAATTTCCTTATATGGCAATCTGACAGCCCGGCTGTTTTCACCGAGCTTCGGCCAAATCTTCGGCCCGAGAAAATGCCCAACTCTTCGGCCCGAGGCAGTACTCAAATCTTCGGCCCGAGAAAATGGTCAACTTTTCGGCCCGAGACAATGCTTGCCTGGTCGGTGAAGCAAAAGCTCGGCCGGCAAAATGTCTGGCTGCTTTGGCCGAGTTTTGGCTGTACCCTCGGCCCGAGACATTGTGTTTTCGGCCGGGCAAAAAGTCCGGCCGGACCATTTGTAGTGGTAGGGCCTGAGGCCGGCCGGCTCGTTTGCAATGCTATATCTATTGACCGGCCGGACTGTTTGCAGCGTGGACTGCCTGGCCGCTTTGAATTCTGCCTGCTCCGGCCGCAACGTTGGGAACGAGGGATGACCGGCCGGCATACCCTCCGGCCGGAGCATTGCAACGTTGGGTGAAAGAGGCCGGGCAGATCGTTCAGAAGTGGGGGGGCGGCCGGGGTGTAGTCCGGCCGGAGCGTTGCAACGTCCGGTGAAAACAGGCCGGTCGCAACATTGAGGAGGGGGGGTGGGGCTGGCATGCACTCCGGCCGGAGCATTGCAACGTACTGTGAAAACAGGCCGGGTGGATCATTGGGGACAGTATTCAGGGATGGTGAGGCCGGCCGCAACGTTGGAGACGAGGCAGAGCCGGCCGGCATGCACTCCGGCCGGATCGCTGGCAACGACAACATCTGCAACGTGGACCCGGACCCCTCCGGCCGGCGCCGGCCGCAACGTTCGAGACGGGCGAATCTCACTCCGGTTTCAACGTTCGGAACGTTAAATCTTACTCAGTAGGCTCCGTCAACAGACCTGTCGATCCTAGTACGCAACGTTGGTGGATTAGCAGGCTCGGAACTGAAGAATATAGGTGTGGCGTCGTCCGCTTCAATCAGGGAAAGGGAGTCTCGATAGGGACAGCACTGATCGCGCGCGATCAGAGTGTTGACACAGGTCTGACAGAAGACGTGGCCTAGATTGCGAAGGTGCCCGTCTTTGATCAATATGAGTTTGACCACATATCCAGACCAACACGTACCACATCGTATGGAGACCGGTCTATTAGGGAGAGCACCAGAGTTCTGCGGATACTCGACGGCGCACACGGGACACGTAGGATGCATGTCGAAGCTATGCAGAGGAATGAAACTGTTGGCGCAACCCATTGAAGACGGAAGCGGCACTTATACCCGCATTGAACAGTCCTTTGTGTACATCGTGGCGGCGCTACGAGCAGTGGCATTGGTACACGTCACTATCACAGGTCCGGTGGCATCTAGGCTATGGGGACAAAAACAAAAGGTCTCGGACACGTACGCACCAGGTTATTCGGAAGATCACACCGTGACCCCCGGCGGCACATCCAGCCAAACCACCTTCCAGTCGTCGGTATGCCTACTCTTCGGAAAGCCTGCAATACGAAGGACGTGAGTATGCGCCGAGTAATCTGGCCTTCAGAGTGTGACCTGACACGCACCAGTGCTCTCTGAGGTCTATCCGCGGGATTTTATTCAGCTCGGAGGCTCATGTTGGTCGTGGCGTTCACGTACCTACTATTACTCCACGAAACGAGTCAGTGGCACACCCACGCTTTCCCTCGCTGGAAGCCGTCCTCGGTCCAGTCCGGAATTTACAGGAAACCTGGGTGGATCTCGAGGCTGGGGCAGGGGCGCGGCGATTCCTCGTTGCTGCGCAGTACGACCCCGCCCTTCCTGTCAACAAAGCGCTCAGGAAGCTTTCACCCATCGAGTGGCACGGAGACCTGATCATCATGCGTGCGGGTACCTGGGTGTTCGTCACCGACGTCGGTGCGCGCGCGCTGGCCATTCGAGCCGTCCAGAAGTAGGCATTTTACTGCCATTCTGATGATTAGATACGCCGACTGATGCTCGACAGGTACCTCCGCAAGTGCCGCGAGGTTGTCGCCACTGCAGCCGCGCAAGGTCTGCCTGTCGAGTTGCCGGCGGTGGTGTAGTCTACACGGCTGCGTTATTTCCTCTGCATGGTTGTTTGTCCAAATATGTATCACTAGCGCGATCGACGGTGATGAAGAAGTTTGCATGTACGCACGAGAGGCGAGCGATGTAGACACGGTGACTGGTCAATTTACAGCAGCAGTACGACGGCTGCGTGTCCAAGCTTCCATGACCAACGTTCATCCCATTGCAATGTCGCCCCAGGCTGTATACGCGTTTGGAAATGGAGGGCGAGTCGTGTACTGGTTGAAGTGGCTGTCAACGCAGACCGCGCCCGCCAGTGCTAGTGAACCGTCAGGCGCTTGCCCATATCCAACTTCCCGGCGCTGTCTGCGGCGAGTGAGTCATGCGAGTCGCTTTCCTCCCCCGCCGCGAGAGCTGTCAATCGCAGCGGCCAGCTTGAGGCCCAATTCTCGTGTTCGTCCCTCAAAATCAACTGACACTATGAGCGCATGCGGTCGCCGCAAATCGAGCGCTCTCAAGGTTATAGCGCCCCTAGGCAGCTGTCGAGCGAAACACATATGACATAGGAACACGAGATACAGATACAGAGGATTGGAGAGTGAAGTATACGTTTCAACGAACAAAACATGCGGCTCGAGCCTCGTCACGAATCAAAGCGTCTAAGTTGCGATCCTCATATCTTGCGCGATGTTAGCAACTTGAACGTCCGAGGTAGTGATGATTGTGGTCACCGTGGTCGTGGAACCACGTCCTACAATGTCAGTGGCGGCGGGCACAGTTGCGATCGTAACGGTAATCGTGGTGGTCATCGTATTTGCAACTGTCGCCGGGGCTGTCACCGCCGCAGTTGGCATCGTCGGCGGCGATGGCACGGTGCCCTCGTTCAGACCAGCGGGAGGATCGGCCCTGCTTGCATCTACAGGGGCAGCGCCGTGTGTGTCCGCTGGCAATCGGTCGCGTATGTCATGAGCGACGTCTCGCGCGACGTCTAGTGGCTCTGCCGCGAAGCCGAGATAGCTGTCCTACAACGGGGTCCGTCAGAAAGAGGTGTCTGGTAGGCGACAACGACTCACTTGATCAGACCCGTCCAGACAGCCGACGTATCCGCCTGGTAAGACGTCGACTGGTAGCGTTTGAGGCGCCTCCGCCATGGCATCTTCTGCGGTCTCGGCAGCCGCGTCTTGTGGCATCTCTCGGCTTGCGTGCGACCCTGCGGTTCCAGAGTAGTCGATGATATCGTCAAACTCGAAACCGGTGGCACTGAGAGTTCCCGGCAACGGTGGGTCAGTCATCCCGTCATCCGTCCGATGTCTGTCACTGACCTGCTGTCAAGACAAACAGAGGGCGGCATCCAGGCGAGAGGATCCAGAGCGTACGGCGCGTTATCTGCAAGCCCCGGATGCTCGCGGTACAAACTCCTGTGGAGACGCATGTTATAATCCCACCCCGAGAATAGAAGGGTCACAAAAACGTACGGCTGATGCTCTGACATGCCAAGTGGAAGGGGAGCGGCCGCAGGAGAGAACGCGCCTATGGCAGAGGTGTCGAGTTCTAACGGAAGGGACGGCAAGCCACTCGGGCCATCTGGCGCGATGGAGTAGTAGGGGCTGTATGCATCGGTGAAGGTACCACGAAGGTACGCATCGGACAGTGGCGGCGGGTGAGGCGCTGCCTCCACGTCTGTCGCCGTGTCGTTGCCTAGGACGGGCGGCGCGGGTGCATCCGGGATTTGTGGGTGCAAGGGAGGTAGGCCGGCATCCGGCAGTTCAAACAGTAGCGAAGGCATCGGCCCGATACCCTCCTCGATCATACGAAGCAACTCGTCTTGGGCTTCAGCAGATGTTTGAAGATGAGTTCCGAGACCGTCGTCGAGACGGGCCCGCTTGTAATACGACGTCTGGCCGCTTCGGGTGTCGTCCATGATGCTAGCGTCTCGAGCACTGTTGTGGGCACCACTGACGTTATTCACGGCAAGGCATGATGACGAAGGGGAGACCTGCCTATTGAGCCTGGCGCTGCGACGCCGCTGGCTGATGTTTCTGTAAGGGACGCGGCGAGAGGAATGCATCCCAACGGAGTGGCGAGCTCTTGCGAAATCAAGGATGCGCGATGGAAGAAAAACCTGTGCGGGAGGGCGTCACATATACTGGTTGAGCACAATGCAGCCCGAAAACGAAGCAAGCGCTTGCGTACCGGGGGACGTGGCATGCCCCATGATGATGATAGGGATCTGGCCAGACGCATGCACTCACATCGCATTGACGATGGAGGAGCTTCAGACGAAACGTTGCTTGGCTGCATCGCGAACGTCGTACTCGTATAGTTGCGCTGCTCGAGTACGATGAGGAGGTCAGTGTCGCAGCCGGCCCCGCCCACTACGGAGTTGTACGTACATGAGCCGGTGCCACTCCGTTAGTCTCGCTGCACGGAGATGGCCATGGAAGTGATACGTTCGACTAAGCGATACACGAGGGGGCGGCAGCGAAACGTGGACGAGGGAAAATAGCGAGGCCGTAGCCCTGAGCATGCGGTTCCGCCGCACGGTATGCGTGAGCCCTGGATACGCTATAGCTAGAGCCAACATCGACGCGGAGGGATGACGAAGACGGGCCACGGCCTAAACGCTCTGCTGAGGGCGTAGCCGCCCTGTACTCGAAACCGCATAGCGGCCTAGCCTTCAATACGATCGATCCACATTCAGTGGACGAAACGATGCTCTTATATTGGCTCACCGCGTTGTGATCGAGGACGCTGTGTGTCCCCAGCGATGCCCCCCGCTCTGCATGCGGTTATCCTCCTACGCAGCCGTTGTCCTCCTACGCAGCCGTTGTCCTCCTACGCAGCAAACCTTCATGATCAGCAGCTGTAGCACGAAACGCCGTAAACGAGGTGTCACTCACCAGCCGCGGTACCAATGGGACGGCGAGAAGGCTGCGGGGTTCGCGAGCGGAGATCATGGCACTAGTAGTACTGGTGGGTCAGGTCGGAGTAGGGCGGGCCTCGGGCTTTGGCTTAGCACGGTGGAGGTGGAAGCAAGGCCTGGCTCGGCGTACGGGGCTGCTGTCACGCTCGCGTGCTGTCACACTGCACGTGTATCACGTGCGGCGATATTCACTTTACTAAACTCCCACGCAGGCGCGTCGGACGCGCCGCTATATAATGGACGGGCGCAGCCTCGAGCCTGCGACTCGCTGTCGGCGGCGGCTTCATCTCCAGGCTGCTGGCTTCAAACACCCCCGGGTGCTTGCTCGTCGACATGCTAGCGGCGCTCGTAGCTTCCCCGGTCTTTGGTGAGCGCGCAACTCCTCTCTGGCCCTGCTACTAGGCGGACGAGCAGTGCGGGCGCATCTACGCGGAGCCAAGCCAGGCACTGGGGGATGGCACCCGTACTGCTAGGCGTCTGGCGACGGCCAGACGCCGTCGACGTTAAACGGTGGTGCTCACGGGGGCTCGTTAGGTGAACCGCTCATCGCGGCGGCCGACTCTGGATTCGCGTTCCGCCAACTACTGGCGGCGGCCATCGCAAGGGAAGACGAGGGCCTTTTCAGCGAAGGGAGGATTGCGAACCAATCCCTTGGGCGCCGCAAACGCGCAGCCAGCCCCGAGCTCGCGCCTCGGTTTGGTCCACACCCGTTCAGCGCTGAGTCATCAAGCTTACGAGCCGAAGCGACGGGATCTTCAGCGGAATCCGACCACCCGGCAGCGCTGCGGTACGGTTGGGGCGTGCCTCGGTGCAGGCTCGCGATCGATCGAGCGACAGCGAAGAAAGCCCAGGCGCGAGCAAAACGGAAGCGGCAGCGAGCGGAGAGCGCGTCGCCGTACGCGACGATGCAGAGGCCGCGGCTGCCGCTCCTCACAGACACATCGACGCCGCTCCTTCAATCGGCACGGACATTGCTACTCAAGCCCTACCGCACTCCAACGGCGCGTACACCGGGGCAGGGAGCGCGTACTCGCGTCGGCAATACACGCTGGATGACTTGGTCGGCGAGGGATCAGAGTTTGGCTTCGAGTTGATTCGTTGGGATGGGAGGTACGCGGCGCTTTTGCATCCATGCATGCCATCATCACACGCTGTTGGTCTGCAGGACCCCTCGACCAATCACCGACGAGTCTGGGCGAGTCATCGCCGTCCTTTCTGGCGCCCCCAACGACCCAGCCTGGACCGGTGTGCACACCGGTGCCGCAGCTGCCATCTCAGAGGCCCGCACGAAGCTCTCCTTTTCCCCAAGGATGTGGTCCATCGGCGTGGAAACTTCCCGGCCCTCGCCGTGGGTATATCTTACGGAGGAGGGCAGAAGGTGAGAGTGACTGCGTCACCGTCGAGAACAGCGTTGACGCCGCATAGCAACCAGCAAATCTAGTACATTCGCGCGCGAATGAGGCTTCCCTCACCTCCCTTCTGGCGAGCGAACACATACAGCGCATCGCCTCCTTCGGATCCAGAGGGTACTCATGCAGCTCAACAGGTCCTTACTGACAGCTGGGCGGCAACGCAGACGTCTTTAGTACGTGGGCGCCGCGCCTCTTCAATACTACGTCTCGCATATGCGGGACCTTCTTGGTCACCATCCGCAGCTCAGGCCCAACTTCAAGAATAGCGTATTTGCGTGTGCGACTTTCAACTTCGGTCCCGCGACCTGTACCCTCGACCATCGTGATTGCGCCAACTTGCCGTTCGGCCTGTGCTCGATCACCTCGCTCGGTAGCTTCAATCCCCGAACAGGCGGCCACCTGGTCTTGTGGGACCTGCGACTCGTCATTGAATTCCCGCCTGGGTCAACTGCCATCATCCCGTCGGCAACTCTTCGCCATTCGAATACCGAGATTGGGCCGGATGAGGAACGGTTTTCGTTCACTCAGTATACCGCCGGTGGGATTTTCCGGTGGGTCGACCAGGGATTTCAGCCCTCACCAGAGTATTACTCGGCTTTGGACGTTGGCGCCAAGGCCGCTTTCCACCAACGTGCTGCAGCTCGATGGAAGGAGGGCATCTCGCTGTTTTCGACCTTGGAGGAGTTGCGGGCAGACTCAGGCGCATGATGGCACTTCATACGCCGGCAGTACTGTCCCTGATAAGTGATCCATTAATGAAGACTGCCAGCATATTACTCTAGCAATACGGGGCGTGCGTATACTAATGCTAGTCAGAGTGAACCCACCCACGCCCACGCGCGCATCTCATCGCCCCCAGCAGTCTCCTCAAGACTAGTGCGGACGTTCGTATTCGCCTCCACTACGTGCTCCACTCTTCTCCAAATCCGTTGACGAGCTGCAACTGAGTGCATATCCTGTAGCATGTCGTCACGCAAATGCAAGGAGACTAGGTACTGCCGAGGTGTTGTCGTCGGATCCCGACCGTGGCTGCGCGACTGACTTTTGAGTTTCGCGAGGACGGTCTGGACGGCTTCGGTAACATGATCCGTCTCAGCGGCAGTGGCGCGCTGTCGTCGCTTAATCACAGAAAGCCCAAGCAGGACAAGGCCGCCTGCTACGGATCCGCATGATTCAATGCTGATAATCGAAGCAATCAAAGGACAGACTCACTAATGATATGACGTCTCCAACCCGTCCATATGGCTTTGGCTTCTAACTTTAACAAACACGCCCAGGTGAAGTGCGGTTGCCGATGCGCAACGTAGAGTTCTCCACTAATGCCTTGTCAGAGTACAACCTCGGAGCTAATGCGAACCACTCACTCCATGGCCCTCTGGATTATGAGATCCTTGTCACGTCGCGGATCCCGTAGTAAGTCATCAAGAAACTCTTGGAGCACGGGAAGCCATTCGGGCTGGACGGAGGCGTCAGGAAAGTCGCGTCAGGAGGCTATTCAGCCAGTTAGTCGTGGAGACTTGCCTGTATACGCCGCTTGACCTCACTCTCTAGCGCGTAGAGTTGCAAGCCCCATCGCTGCGCCTCGGTCAGGCCTGCAGTGTCAACGGGAGTCCTCTCGCCATCAGAGAAGCAGACTTGACGACCCGCTCTTCCGCGAGCACCCCTGCGACCTCTTCACGAACCGCACGCATGCGACGCGTTCGTTCTACGTCCTCTACACATCGTGGGGAAAGCCCTAAGGGGCCAACTCCAGGTAGGCGGTCTAAAAGTCCAGATGCGAAGGCATATACTGCTTGAAAACCTGCGCTTTGAAAGCGGAGGCCTTCTGCACGAATGAACGCCGTGGAGGGGTGCGCCAGAGAGCTGCGAGGGAGACGCGATAAGACTTTGTGTGGCGCGATGACGAACCCATGATCACAGCTGATTACGGAATGGGTGCACGTCGCATGTGGAGGACATGGCGCACAGGTGCGCATTCCGAGACTCCGTGAGGCGGTATTCGTGGCGTCTTCGGAGTCGCAGAAGCCGATGCGCTTTGACTCCCTCATATAGATACAGAGCATGCCAAGAATCGGGACGATGATCAGCGGGATGACGATGCTGACAAGCAGGGTCGACATCTGTGGTGAGCGGGTGGAATTTGAATGGGGTTGACCGCTATGATGGTGAGTGCTAACACGGCGAGAGCTACGTGTAGGCGGCGATGTCCACGACGTACGCATGCGGTTGGAAAGCGGAATGGCATCGGCTCTAGGCTTGTGAGGTGCAGTGGAACCGTCCGTCGTCGTGTTTAACGGCCCAAGAGCGGTGTTCGGGCCGCGTATGTGCGACTGACCACCACTCCCGTTGACCGCGTGCGATCCATCTGGTGATCTTTGCGCGACGCGTGTTCGTGGAGCTTCGTTGGTCAGATTTGAGTTCTTGGGAAGGCCGGCGGGCCAGTGGGGAAGGGAAGACGGATTGAAACCAGAGTTCTTGCGATTATCGTTGGTGACAGTCTGGGGCGGGCAAGGAGCCTGTAGTAAGGTGCCCGTCTTCCTGCGAGCCGTGTGGCTAGGCCCAGGGGAGCGTATAGGTCCAATCTGATCGGAATTGTTGATCCAGCCCGAGTCTCTACGAGGATTGTCCGCAACGGTCCGGCCCCCGCTAGGAGCTGGAAGCGACACACTTGTCTTCTCGCGAGCCGGACGGTGAGGCCCAGGAGAGCGCTTGGAACCGGACTGAAAAATGTTATTGTTGACCCAGCCTGAGTCCTCGAGACGTCCAGGGCCGCCCGACGCAGTTCCTACTGCCATTGGGATGCCCTGATTTGAGGCCTTGGGCCTAGATGAACCCCGAGCACTCGGCTGGAAGACGTTCGCGCTGATGGGCCCCGAGCGTTCCCCAAGGAAGGGGGGGTGAGGGGGCTTTCCTGACTACCAAGAGAGCCTCAGTGTTGCTACACCGAGTGTGAAACGTTTCGCGCACCCTACTCGGGGATTCGGTGGACTCTGGGCCCACGATGAAGCCGTGACCGTAAGCGGTCTGGGAGCGAGCGCCACTCCCCGAAGATTCTTCGCCAACTTGCACTGGGTGGCTAAGAGCAGGTTGCGTCGGTGGCTCCTAGACGAAAAAGATGAGTGACTGGTGATTATATTCATTCGGTGATGCCATACCGTTTGGCTTCGGTGTTGACGGGTGCTTGGTTGCGACACTGCGCTGTTGAACTCTTGCACCAGCTGTGGCTTTGAGCAGTTGGTAGGATACGTTACTCCATGATGAAGCAAAACCGCTCGAATTTGAGCCGTCGTAAGCTTATTAGCGTCGAAGCCAGGTTGAAGATAGTCACCAGCTGCGATGACGTCTGCAGAAGTCAGTCGTGGCATTGCGGCTGCAAGTTCGGGCTAGATACGACGGGCATCGTTGCGCTCTCCTTGTTATAGGCTCCGTGGCCTAACGGACGGTCGTCTTTTGCATGCTTTGTCCTAGGGCAGGCGTCGCATTGAAGTCGCGAGAGCGCCTAGATCTGTACACGAGGTTCGGGCCTCAGGCTCCCCTGTCGAGAACGGTACAGCTCGTCATGCCAATAACATGCCACCACGTATCGAAACGAGACGACACGTACGAGTTTATCAAATACTGCGCACAGTGCGGGCGTATGAGCATACGCTCCGTGTCAGCGCGTTGGGCGACGGTGATCGTACTATACACGTGGAGGTGCGCGACCGGTCAATCGCGACCCGCGGTTCGCCCAAGGTCTCCAGATTCGGAGCCACGCACAATAGCACTTTTCCATGCGCATGCCATCGATTGCCATTGCAAGACCCATTGTACTCGTATGGGATAAGGGCAGACAGCTCGTCTCTCCTACGTACGCACCATACACTGCTGCCACTATTAGCTATAGCCACAACCTGCGATCCCTACGCGCATCATGGCCGACCGGCGCAAGACTGCAATACTCCTCGTGATGGTTGCGCTGCTCATGCTCGCCTTCATGCTCCCTGAAGTCCAACGAAGCCTTATCTTCAGCTGCTCCTTCTGTGGCACAGTCGCAGCATCACTGTTGACGTACCTCCACAACGCGGTCTACAACCCTTGTTCGCTCTCGCTCATGGCAAATTCGCCCTATTGTCGGACCAACGACGGTGCAACGCGCATTGTATTGGGACACTTGCTGAACAATCAGACATCGGGATTCGAGGCATTGATTAGCAGTTCGGGGGCCTCCGCCGAACTGGTCGTGCAACTCACCGAAACCCGCATCGCGATTGGCGACTTGATACCACTTGTCAAGCACAGCCATCTTGAGCGTCGAGTGGAGCTACATTCCCTCCTGGAAAAGCTCGCTGACGACGCCAAGGATGCGAGTCGCTACCTACAGCAATTGTCAGCGAGGATTGACAGTGGCGCTGACCGGTATGTGGCGCCTTGTAGTAAGACCGACGTACGATATCTCACCCTCATTCAGGATAAACGTCATGGTGGGACACACCTCACGCCTTCTTCTGGATTCCCCGCCGCCGTCCATGACTTCGCAACAATGCACCATCATCGACATCATCAATCCGCTCCGCACTAGCGCATGTGCTGCTCAGCCTGTGGATCCGTACGTCGTACTCAGTGCCTATGAACTGGCACTGGGGACGGTGGAAGACGTCCTCAGGAATCTCATTATATCTGCTCAAGCTGCCCTCGGGAAGCTTGACGCCCTCGATTCACGTCTCCAAACCATCGCCGACGTCACCTTCAGTGAAACCACTGTTGTCAGCGAAGATAGGGAGCATGTACTCCGACAACTTTGGACGTACCTAGGCGGAAACCAGCAGAGGATTTATCAATTCCAGCGCGACGCAGACGTGTTGCGGGATGTCGAGGCTTACAGGAAAGCGGCAGTCGCTCACGTCGGCATGGTCTTGGATACACTCGAGAACATGCAGACCGTTGCAGAGGAGACCCGGCGCATCGCTTCCGGTGCACTGCTACGCGGACAGATACCGGACGAGCTCCTCCTGAATGTAATCTCTGATGGCACCGGGAGATTGAAGATGGGTCGCGTGGAGGTTGCTATACCTAACCTCGCTAACTAGGTTCTGGTGAGTGTGATTCCATCTCAAACGGTTCACGTAGCAAACTGGGATGCTTCTCCTACAGATGCCCATCTCAATACGACTCACAATCTATGCAACATGTTCTCCCTTCCATACTCCCCTGACGTCCACCCCATGCTCCCCTGACCCCATGTTCATTCTACCTATGTTTGTCGTTACTTTGTGCCCAATAACGTGTAGTAGGAAAGGACTTAATGAGATGCGTTAGAATGAGACCTCATACTGTCTGCTGCCGGGTTGTGCGTGCATCGCGGCTCGCCCGCATCGGCAATTCCGTTGGATTGGTCTGTCGACGAACATCGCTTTCGTCCACCGGTTCGCCTTCTTGCTCGCGCTGGCCTGGTGCAGATGAGCGAGCACGTGGGTTTGTCAGTTAGCAAGCATAAGGGAGGTGGCGTGAGCAGCTGGGAAGACGGGGCGATGGGGAGGCGAGCGGGCGGGAGGACGAGTGGGCGGGCGAACGAGGGAGCGAGGCAGATGTCTACTCGAGCAAGGCGCATGTGCGAGTGAGGTGAGTGGGCAAGCCAGGCAGGTGGACAAGCGAGGTGGGCGAGCGAGGGGCCGGTAGACGGGCTGGCAAGAAGGCTGGCGAGCCTGGGTCAGCGTGTGCATGCGTGCGCAAGTGGACGGGCGTCGCACTCACCTGTACCCATCCCTGCCATGACCTGCCCGCCCCAGCCCTCGCTCCTACGGCGTATTGTCCGCGTGCTTTGATGCCCATAGTAATACCGCGTACCACGCAGTGTTGACGGTAAGTCGCTTCGGGACAGACTGCATGCAACGCGCGAGAAGTGCTATTCTAAGCGCCGAGAGCACGGGGCGTCACCGGTTCACCGAGGAGGCCCTGTAAGCGCCCATGGGCTATCCTCAACGGAAGCTCAGTTCATTTCAGTAAACCAACCATACCACTACGTGGCGGAGGAATGGGCGGCGGGCGCGTGCGCGAAGGAAGCACGGAATAGACGGCGGGCCTGTGAGCGAAGGAAGGACCCGACGGTGAGTGCAAATGCACACAGGCGGGCGACTCGGAGCTGACTGCAGACACAGGGAACGGCGACGTGCAGCACAACGCGCACGGTAGCTGACGAACGCACGCGCAGGCGGAAGAGCGAGTAGGCGGGCAAGCGTGCAGGCTTCTAGCCCGGTGCCAACATGGACGCCGCGCGCAACAGCAGCATGCGGTCGCAGCCGCCCGCGATGAGGACAACGGCGTGGTCCGCCGCGCCGTTCACGTCCGGGCACCTCGTCCGAGAGTGCAGGAAGCGCGGAAGACGGGCAGCACGAGCCTGGCGAACACGAATCGCGTCGGCGTCCGGACACCGTCGCCACGTCCGGACACTCGTCCAGACGCAATCGTCACGTCCGACCGCCGTCGTTCCCGTCCGGGCGCACGAAGGCCAGCGTGCGCGGCCCGGGTATGTGCAGCGGCTGCCCATACACCCTCGAGGCCGTCCAGTCAACGGACAACCTCCGAGCTTTGCTGGCGCACCCGGGAGGCAAGCGAGTCATGCGCGCGGACGGCACGGATTCCGTATGTCCCTGTTCGTTTGTATATGACCGTAAACTGTACTTACATTCGCGACAGCGAACGACACGCATGCGCGTCCATTACACCCCACACGCGGTCCAGGCGATGGCCATGTCGACGATCGAACCGCCCTCGATACCCTGCAGCGAGTCCTGCCCACGACGCCGACGAGCTCGTGTCTGCGCAAGAGCATGAGGACCGCTATGGTGTGTCAATCTGCTTCCTCATGCGCGCTGTTGTACTGACGCCCCGTCGAAGGTCGCGAGAACCAACGGCGGGACGGTGACGAACCGCAGCCGTCCAGACGATGGTTAAGCGGGCCGTCCGGGGTACTTGCCCAGCTCGGGTCTGCCTGCGGCAAGGGTGCATGGGCGGACGAGTGGGTTGACGGGCGTGCGCGTCGCCTGCTACGTCGGGCGTTCCGGCGGTGGAGAGCGAGTAGGCGGGAAAGTGGGCGGGTTTCCTCGTCTGCTGCACGTCGTCCACAAGTGCGCAGGGCCAAAGCCCTGCGCGCAGACGCGGCCGACGAACGAGCGACAGGCGTAGGGACGAAGAGGAGGACGAGCGGGCGCACGAACGGACGGGCGGGCGGAAGGGCGAGCGGGTGAGTGCGTGAGCAACCGCCGAGCGGGTGAAATGACGAGAAAACGAGCAGGCGAATGGGCAGGTGAGCGGATAAGCAGACCGGCGGTTGAGCGGCTTCGCTGGCTGGCGGGCACACAAGCGGGTGACGACGCACGGCGACTGCGAGCGTGCAGGGAAAATGTCGAGCATGCAAACGCGACCGACGAACGGACGGCACCCTTGGAGATAGGACAGGCGAGACAAGTGCAAGACGGCGGGCGAGGCGACGGGGACAAGTGTGTGGCCGGGGCACGGAAACACAACACACGTCGACTGCGAGCGCACAGGGCGACTGCTCTGCGCAAAAACGCAGCTGGCAAACGGACCGCACGCGCACGGACCAACCGAACAGGCGGGACATGGCACCGCACCGCATACAACACACGCCGACTGCGAGCGCGCTGGGCAAATGCCCAGTACGCAGACACAGCCGACGAACGCGCGCAACGCGAGTGGGAATGCGGGCGAGCGGATGAGCAGGCACGTAGACGGGATGACGGGCGGGCGGGTGAGTACACGAGCGAGCGGGCGTGTCGGCGGGCACACAAGCAGGGGACGACACACGCCGACCGCGAGCGTACTGGGCAATTGCACAGCACGCAAGCACCGCCGACGAATGGACCACGCGGGTGAGCTGAGGACGGGAGACGGCGACGACGGCAGGGCTGGGGCGTGCGCAACACGCCGACTGCGAGTGCACAAGGCCAGTGCCTCGCGTACAAATGCAGCCGACGAGCCCGCCGTGGGTACAGGCACACCGGCGAGCAGGCGGGAGGGGGTGGATGGCGCGTGAAGAGAGGGGCCAGGTAAGCGCGAGCAAGCAGGGAAGATGGCGAGGATCGTGGCTTCCGACCTCGAGTGGGAGCTGCGGTGGATCGCATCAGAACGAGTGGGTGGCCGCCGTGATTCACAGGTTCAATACTCTGCCTTCGTTGCGCGCTCGGACCGCTCGGACCTGCAGCTACCACCCTCTATTGAACGCGTATGCGGCGTGCTCGGACTGATGTCCATTCTCGACCGTCAGGATCAAAACACCTTACGAGCGGACCACACCCCCCTTGGCGATGCCCGCGCAGCGTCGAGGCATCTCTCTCTGGACTGTCGGACCGCATACAGACCGTCGGCAGTTCATCCCTACTGCGTCAATCCCTCGCGACTGTTCGTGTTCGTCCGACTGGATTCCCCTCTTCCTCTTCGTCCTTGCTGACGCCGCTACAGACTCGAAACAGCCACGCTCGTAGGTGAGCTGTTTGGCGAAGATGGGCCGCAGAAGGCACCGCAAACCAACGATCCAGGCTTCCGAGAGACCGCTCTCAGCTGGTCCGCAACTTGTACGTTCGTTGCGACTTTGTTGCATGCACTTCTCCGGTATTCATCTTCATTACATCGCGCAATGTACCGCAGTGCAGCCGCTCCACCTCTTTGCGTGCGGTCTGCGAGGTCGCCATGATCTGCAGTGTGCACAGTGCCCATCTCCGGAACTCGTCGACTAACAATGACTAACAACAACGCTACAGCAGGGATATTCTCTGAAAAGCGTGGTTGAAGCTAAGCCTGACTTATCCAAGGCCGTGCAGGCGGTCACGAGCGTCAGGGCAAGCGTGAGCGTCGCAGAGGACACAGGGCTGCTCGTCTCAAGCAGCCGGAAGATCGACGAGCTCAAGGCGAAGGCGGACGAAGCCAAGCGGCGCTACGACCTCACAACCGTGTCCGATCCGCTATGCCCTGTCAGACCTCCAGGTGTTCCCAGCAGCTCGAGGCGAAGAATGCGGAGGAGGACACCGCGAGGGAGTATGGTCCGAATTAGTAACCACGAAACGAACGCGATGAATGGCAACAGGCATATCGTCGCACGACTTCTAGGCGAGGTGCGTTCATGCCGCGCCACTGACTTGGCACTCCAACCATGCTGTCGCACCTGCTTCAAGACGTCTGGAGTGAAGAAGCCCCACTGGCCACAAAGCGTTCAGCGGTTCATGAATACCTTACAGACGATGACACGAATCGGAGGACTTGCGGAGCCGGCTACACGCATGTCCGCATCTCATGAAATGTATCTGGACGACCGCAACCTCTGACTGTTGTGCGTCTCCGAATGGATTCCCCCCCTCCTCCTCCCTAGGTGTCTCTAGTCCTAGGCTTTCGATATGGGATCCACACCGTGGATCGATGAAGGGGGAGCAGGATTACGGGTGGCTCAGCGTCGCAGATGCGCCGTATGCTGCTCGTCAATCTGTGTGTATAGCTGTGGTTACTCACGAAAGGCGCCAGGTCGGTGGTTCTGTACGTCTGCTTGCCTACAATTTTTTTTTTTGAATTCATGCACTGCAGCTACGCCCTCAAATCCACCGAGATTGACAACCCTGGGATTACTGGTACTCGGTACGGCGGTCTGGAGGTCCCGCGACCGGTTTGAGAGGGCTGACTGACATGGTACAGGATAGTTCAGGCGTAGGCCATGTCGACGGAGCATGGGCCGACCCGCCAACTCGATCGGTCATGACCACGATGCATGATGGCGGCAGTTCGTCCCCGCATTCCCAACGGCTGCTGAGGTACGTCGCAGACATGTTCGTTCCCTTTTCTTTACTTCCCCTTTCATTACCTCGTAACTCGTCCTTCGCTAACTATCGTTCTGCTGTCGATGCGGTATAATGGCTCGGCGTGTCCATCGCCGTTAAGCTTTCGAGCTCTACGTGCGTCGTTGTACGTTTGTTTGACTGCCAGGTTGGTCAAGATCTCCGCTTCCAAATCCAGGAGAGTCGTTCATTCCGTCATGTTACATCGATATTTACAATATGCTAGTGCGCCTGAAGTGCCTGGCCAAGTGCTTCCAACCGCTCGCGCAGGATGTGGCGTCGCTTCTCGATGCGCAGGCGACTGCGCGAAAACCAGTACAGCAATTCCAGGAACTCTTCTTTCGTTGGCAGTTGCACCTGATAGCACCGCTTATCCACAGCAATTCTGATCATCGTTTTCTTCTGCTGACGAGGATTAGACTGCTGCCACAATTCAAGGATGTATCGCGCGCTCGCACCTCAATCGCGCAGACCGTCGAGTCCTTAGTGACCATCATGCCAACTTGGTGAGTGTCAAGCATTCTCGTGTCTAGCATGACTGGCTGGATGACAACAACAGCTGTAGAGATGGAACTCAGCGAGGAGCTGTGGAAGGCGTGGTAACGTACAATCGCCTTCAGCCAGTTCTACGAAGTACAACACCGCAGGCATGAGTGTGTCGGGCTCGCCATACGGTATGTCTAAGTTCTCGATGACTCTTGAGTCCAACACATTGCTCGAGAAGAGGATAGAAGTGCCGCTGATCAAATTGAGCCGACTTTCAGTATGCGGAAACCTGTCCGTCTGAGAACAGAGGGACAGACCTGGGTAAGCTGTCCAAGACTTCGGGTGTGCAGCACACGGAACGAGCCTGTGCGTTATACCGCAAAGAAAAAACGTGACGCCAAAGTGTCGCCCAAACGCTAGCAATGTACGCCGCCATGGTTCAGCTACGAGGAGATGCTACCTTTCAAGAAGGGAGATGCTACGATTAAAGAAGACCCTCTCCTAGGCTGACGTGTACGTGTACGGTCTGTGCACGTATACGTGTATACGTGTATATCACAACAAGCACTTCTTTGTCTGCCACTCGGCGCAGAGCCCGGACGGATGTCTCCATTGGTACGTACGATCGTACCTGGGCCCACCTTACCCCTAGAGGTGACGCGGGAACTCAGCCTCCTAGTCGACTTGAAGGTGCCAGCAATAGTCGATTTCTTTCTGCTGTACATGTTGACGAAGGTCCACGTCTGCTTCAATGACGTGGCATGCTAACGTGTATGCCAACGTGTATGCTAACGTGTATGCTAACGTGTATCTTCCTCCTGCAGGTCAATTGTACACCACATGGCCACGGACGTTTGTCTAAGCCCGCACAATGGACAATGCATACTCGAAGGCGTGCGCATCTCTAGGTGCGCCGAACTATAAAGCAAGGCCGTTTGTCGCGGTGTCATACTCACAAATTACTCCCTTCTCTTCTTCAATATGACTGAAGTGGCTGAAGCTCCTCGTGACGCCGACATATCGAGCTACAGCGTCGCCCTGGTAGGCTTCGTCCCCTCGGCCAACCCCCGTCATGCACGGATCAATTTAGAAGTGTTGGCGACCGTTGTGAGTGGCATTCATCGTTTGATGTGTTCCATTGTCTCATGGTTTGGTGATTGATTATAGCGTCCCTTCATCGATATTGGTACCAGTGCGACCTTCTTGTCCGTCTCTACGACCGCCTTCACCCCGGAATTTCGACGCTTTATCTTCTGCTTCAACTGGGGGCAGCCCATTCCCCCTGATGGAGGCGATGCTGCCCAGCCCGACGAGCTCGAGACCGTCCATGGAGGCATATTCTTGTTCTCCGACGAATGGCAGTTCTGGAACGGGTTAATTGACAGAACTGCGTGTATGTTTAATTCTGTTTGATCACACTACACCGAAGTCTGACTTCACGATTGGTCACAGACTACATACAGCGTTACCCGGAGAAGTTCCAGGGTGCAAAGGAAGCATATCTCGTCAGGCTGGTGGTACGTACAGTTTAACTATGCGGTGACCGACACAACTGAGTTGCTGCTTCCTGCCTCCAGACTACAACGAGCTGGGTCATTACCTTGTACGTGCACAAGGAAGTGGAGGGCCGCGATGTGAGATGCCTCGTTAACCCTGTTCTGGCCTATACGCCGCTCTGAAACGATGGCCGTCGGTTTGGCGGGGTCGAGGCCGGTGGTCTTTGCATCAGACGGTTCGCGTCGACGCAGTAGTGTGCTCGTCGCCGGGTGGCCGGGTGAATGTATGTTATGCGTGCGATGTATGTACAAGTAGTGAACCCAGTGCTCCAGTGATGCTCGCGAATCAATCAATTGCGTACGATATGACTCTGAGCTTGTACGAGGAACCAAAAACGAGCACAATTGGCCTCGAGTGGCCCCGGCGCTTCCCTGTTCTCGACAATACGCCCATGACTGCAACACGGTCGCCCGATTGAACATCACAACGGCCCTCGCGCGCACAGCCTCAACGCGTTAGCTAGTCCTCTGCCACGATTCAGCTAGTAGCACCACGGCGGCGCTCCAGGCATCTCGTGCATCGAGTCTCGATGGCCGCTCGCCCTCTAGAGCTCTACCCCGAGCCACTCCGGAACGAGCGACTCCGGAACGAGCGCGAGGACCGTTCACGACCCTGGTGCAAGGCGACTCAGGATGCGGATGCGGCCAGGCCTAGGATGGGAAAAGAGAAGGAGCACCCGTACCGCTGTGACGGGTCTGTACCGAGGCGGGTAAGGGTACAGGTCGATGGGACTCCGGTCAACGGAGAGGATTTCTGGCACACGGTGCGTCGTAGAAAGTTGTGAAGTCGTCTCGGTACTCATATATCATACCTCGTCCTAGATGCGACTGAGCTGGGATTCCATGATACACTTGTCTGCCCTGCCAGTGGCGTCCGTTACGTCTGCCTTCCTGTTCGCCACATCCATCCTGCCGTCCACCGAGCTTGCGCCATCAGCGTGTACGTGCCCTCGACCGTCCCGCTGGGCCTATTCTACGCAGCTCTCACGCTGTACATCGCCTCGCTTGTCCTAGTCGCGATCACCCCATGTGGGCTGCCACTGCACTTCCCGCCGGAGCAGATCTTCTCGGGGAAGGTCACCGCGAAGACTGGCGACCTGCGGATCGTGCTCGCGGGCATGCGCGCGACGACGATCTTCCGGAACATGCGCGGCGCGATGAAGAAGCACCATCTGCGTGCTCCTGAGTCGGCGGCCGCAGAGAATGGTGCCACCGCCAGTGCGAATGCGGAAAACAGGGAGTTGAAGAGGGACGAAGACGACTTACTGGGCAAGGGACGGATGTGGGCTACGTCAGTGAATTCGAATGGCACTTGTTCACATTGTTTGGTATGTAGCTTGCCTCATGATTTGGATGTCCGTCACGTCTCAGTTGTACGACTGGGCTGCTCACTCGGGCACGTAGATCCTTCGCAGGCGGAGCGCGCTAGCTGGGCATGTGTGGATGTGCAGGACGGGGTGTAAAGTGTGAGCATGCGACGTTTTCAGTGCCGCCCTAAGGGCGACACCCTGTCGCGCCTCTCCCTCTGTGCGTCGGCGCGGGCGCTTGCGGTCTCTGGTCCGCTCTCCCGCTGCGGTGTCTACGGTGCATCGCCTGCCCTGCTCGTACACCCTGCCTGTCGACGTCTGCTCGCCCGCTTCAATCCTTCCACATCGGGCAGCCGCGCCGAGGTTGCAGGCAGGCTCTGAGGTCCTGCGCACGTTCTCGATGCGCAGACTTGATGAGGGGGCAGAGCCCGCATCTGTCGCTCGCGTTCGTTTCAGGTGGAGATGTCCAGCAAGAATCGACAGGTGATAAGTGATATATCCATATCGTCTCCGTTACTCATAAAGCTGTGCCTTGCAGTAGCTGTGTCAAAAGACATGCCTTCAGGTACCTCCGCCGAACGGTGTGCCTTTGGTTATCCGGGCGAAGTCGTATTGGGCCAGAGAGGTCAGAGTGGCTAAGCCGGGCTGTTGAATTATGACTGATGTGTCGCCGAAGTCCCGGCCGACACACCGTCGTCCGCAGAGATGGATGCCGGAAGCCCACACGGAGGTCCTGCCAGGGATCGTGAAGGAGTGGCGTTAGGTACGGACGCCTTCAGTGGTTGGCACGAATCCATAGCCTGATCCAAAGTGATGCGTCTACAGGTACTCCACGACCGTCCAAAACGAAACGGAGAAGAGACGGGAGCCCTGTGCAAGAACGTATCACGACAGCTGGCGTCGCAGTGCCCCAAATTGGCGGCGCAGCTGCGAGTTCTAACGACGCTGAAGAAGGGGACGATGTTGGGGACGACGGCACAGTATTTACAATCAGCCTGCCCATGCATATGTGCGCCTTACTGGAGGGCTGCGGCCCGTCTCAGATCGTGCGCGGAGAGCTTCGCGGGGAGACACATGAGGCGCGTCACTGCGGGTAGTGCTAGCCATCATCAACTCGATCTAGATCTACTCATCTGTAACCGTTTGTTTTGTCCAAATCTGAACCGTTCACACATCACGGGCAACACGCAGGCCCAGCAAGTGAATGTACCACGTCGTGCCATTTGCTCGCTGCCGCAAGGATCGATGGTTACCGTCCTTACAGAGCGCCTCGCCCTTACAGCTTGATTAAACGTTCGAACCCTGCAGCTGGCAGGCTGCGAATATGCTTATTGGGCACTCCGCCTTCTCAAACGGTTCACGAACCTCTGCGATGGGTGCGGAGGCTACTACCAACCGTCGAACTGCGCGCCGTGTCACGGCTGAGCGGCCCAATTCCCATACTACGCCCGGTGTGACCAGGTTGCCCCTCAGCGAAGTCAGCGATACTTACCTTGCGCGGTCCTGTGCAGTTTGATCGCTCGCTGGTGGCAATTGACAATGGGGAAATTCAGAGAGATCGAAATCCAGATACGGGTCACCAATGGGTCATATTGTACCATATTTGGTCATTTAGCGCCGACAGTGCACGATTCTGCGATTTTCCCAGCAACTTTCCCGGAGGGGCAGGAGGGGTAAGTACGGCACCGGTGAGCGTTCTGCTTGCAAATTTTTGTGGCTGCGCTTGTTGGTGCCGTACATTCGCGAGAACAAACGATGTGAGTGCCAGGAACGACTGGGATCTACACCGCCTTGCAAACGCAACTTGATTGGTCGTTGATCGCTCATGCCGCTATTAGTACAGTACTATGCGTGCTTCGTTACAGAGTTCGTCACATCCCACAGGGCGTCGATGTGTATGATTGTATAAGGACCCCACAGGTAAGATCGGCACCTTGCATCGTTTGTATGGACGGCATCTGACGTTGATCTCATGCTCGAGCATATAGGCTGCCACGATGCGGTTATTGGTCAAGGTCCGAGTTTGATTGGCAGTTGCGACGCGAGAGTGTAACGCCGCATCACAGGGCCCAAGTCGCCCCTGTGAACATTCCCGAACGGTATGGATCAGCAGCCTTCGCGATCGGCGTCATTCTAGCGACGTATTGATTTTATTGATTTCCTTGATTTCCTCAGTTTCCTGGGTTTACCTAAGCAGGTCTGTATGAGCAGTATTAGACCATAGAAGCCGCCGAGTGCCTAGTCTGTATCGCTTTCCCCTTCCCCTTCCCGTCGGTATGCAGAGCTATCGAATAGTTCTCCTTGGAGGTACGTTCTATCACGACCGGAAAGCTTGCTGCCATTTAATCGTCATCAGGAAGCGGCGTCGGGAAGACTGCCCTCGTCGGCCGGTTGTGTTACGACGCGTACAGCGAGATGTATATGCCCACCATACAGGGTATGATCTGCAGCGGTTGCTAGTCTGCCAACTCACAGTTTTCAGATCTACACAAACATCAGATCTGTATCGACGACGGAATTGTCCAGGTAAACAGCCTCGATGAACAGACATCTCCGTGTGATAGTTGACGAGATAACCAGTTAGACGTGGTTGATACGAGTGGCGTGGATAGGATCTCAGACATCACTGACGAACAGATCAAGGTATTGGGTCGTACTTATTTCTCTGCTGCGATGTTCTGACGGTCGACCCAACAGACCGCACATGGCTTTATTCTGGTCTTTGAGTATGCCCCTCACGATGCACTCCGATCATTTGCTCACTAACCATCTATTGCATCAGTTTAACCGTCAGTAGCACGTTCAACGACGTGGTTAATATTAGAGACCGTATTGTTGCTCTGAGAGACTCGGATAAGGTGAGTTCATCCAGCCTGCTCGGCCACCTCTAATTCTGACCGCTACGTCCGCCAGAGTACCCCAATTGTCGTGGTGGCTGCCAAAAGAGACCTGGTCTGGATTTTTATTTCATACGGCATCGTCTCACATGTCTAACATTAGCCCATCAGGATGACGAACGCACAGTTCCCCGCGGTCTCGTCAATCACTACGCACTGCTATGGGAGCAGGCCATTCTAGAGACATCTGCCAAGCGCAATTGGGGCGTCCGCGACGTTTTCGTAGACCTCGCCAGGAGGATGAAACGATTCCAACGCGAACACGGGGTCGAGACGCGCATTGGTGCAGGCCGCACCAAGTGCGTCGACCAACCTGAACAACATTGGTGCTGCCGCATAGTTTGAAGAAAGAGTTCTTCGTCGGTCGAGATGCCTACGATCGGTGTCATGTTGCCTCTGCCATCACAGTTGCTCTGTCTCTGTCTCTGTCTCTGTCTCTTGCTTTTTGCTTTCTTGCCGTCGCTTTCTTGCTTGTCGTCGCTTTCTTGCTTGTCGTCGCTTTCTTGCTTGTCGTCGCTTTCTTGCTTGTCGTCGCTTTCTTGCTTGTCGTCGCTTTCTTGCTTTCTCGTTTGTCGTTCGGGCTTCGTGACGGTGTCACACACTTGCTCTACTTTAACTGCGGCTCATTTGCTCAACAATAGTCACTCTTTCTCGCTTCATCATGTCGATCTCTGTCATTGTACGTGTTTTCCTCGTTGATTATTGCATGCAGTGAATTTTATGATTCTACGGCTAGGGTTTCAGTAACGAGATGACGCTATAGTCATCCGGCGGGCCACGCATTGCTCAAGGGCATCGACAATTGCTCAACGGAGCCAGCACCAGGAAGCATGCTCTGCATTCTACGAGGTATCGGAGAACTCAGTCCTGAACTGGGTGACGCCGCCCTTCTGCTCGTTGTGCGCGGATTCTGTGAGGAATTGTCATCGGGGATGTGAAATCTTCTCGACGTCCGTGCCAAATGCCTATCACAACATCACATTACACACTTTGACTAAGGGCTACGTCCCCGCCGCCCTCGTTATCGCTCTTGCTGCTATGTCATTTGCTTCCGTGGATCCAGCCTGGATCCAGCCCCAATCTATCGTGAACGGATGTGTCCTGGCGAGCGCGATCAGGTTCCGCGAACTTTGGCCGATGAGCGCGGAGAGATGGGATCGGCGAGAATCCGAGGATGGGTCTGTATATGGACTGGCACGTCCGCAAGCGCGTGTCCCCTAGTTCGCCATGCGGTGAATATTAATGCCGAGGTCATCCTCACTGGGACCTCCTCCGTGCGCCTGGAGACCTGATGGGCGGCGTCCCCTCCCGCTCTTCTGTTCCCCCCTTCGTCCCACAAACACGATTCCGGCCCCACGATGGATATCAAAAGCCTGTGCGCACTCCCTTCACCATACAGCCCCTCCGGATAGGCTCACAGCCTCCCCTTCCTAGGTTACGATCGCCCAGTCCCGTCATGGATGTAACTCTAGGTGAAATGAAAAATGAGGTGAGTGGCGTGGCCGCGGACGTCGCTCGACCATGAATGTGCTCGTTGACACCGCCCTTCACTCCAGGACTACGGCACGAGTTATTCTACTATGAGGTACGGAACGATCGCGGCCACCGAAGCCTCCAACGACCTCACCAGACCCGCATTTCACAGTATAAATGAGCCGAACGCACCTTCGGCCACGAGTGAACGCCACGCGAGGTAAGCCGCCGCCTGCTTGGATACACGCGCCTGGCTGACCTCGATGCAGCAGCGACAGCGCTCGCACCACGCTCGATGTACGCGACGCGCCCGCCAAGCCTGTTGTACCTGACCAGCCCGACAACATCCTGAACTCTCCCGTCGGGCACCCGCTCGACGAGCCCGCCCTCGACTCTGCTGAGCGCGAGTAAGCGCTTCCCCTCCGCCGCGCGGAACGATGCCTCGCTGACACTCGCGTCCCCCGCCCTAGATTAACCCGGAGCCCCACTCCCGCTGAGAAGGCGCGCGAGAACAAGCTGCGGGCGGACAACCTCTGCGAGATCTCCAGCCCGCAGCTGGTCCGATGTCGCCGCTGCAATTCCTGGATCAAGCTGTCCGCGAAGAGCGCGTTTGATCCTGCGCACTGGAACAAACATCGTGAGCGATGTATACGCAGGTCGGAGATCGCTGTGGAGGAACTACGAGGGACAAACAGCCAGGTACACATACTCGTGCATCATGTGAGTTCGACCTGCTCACAGAGACACTCGATAGCAGGCACCGTTCCCGTCTGATGTGAAGCCGTCCGATGTGGTCAAGCGCATGGTAGCCGCGCTGGGCACACCGCCGCTGACCCCGGATCGCGATGGCGACGAAACTTCGAGCGCGGGTGTTGTAAACCACCCGTCTAAAGAGGACTCGCCTCTCACCCAGTTCTCCGACTCTAGGCAAGCTAGCACCCTGCCGTCTCCAACACCCATCCCTACTCCACTCCCCGCGATCCGCGATCCTGACCCAGCGTTCGAAGAGTACCTCGTCCGCTCCCAACGTCGACCGACACGCGACCTAGCCTCACCCCTGTTGATGAACTGGCAGGAATGGAACTGGTCGCAGTTGAAGAAACCAGTGTGGTGTCGTGAACATGATGACTGGGACCACGAGGAGGGCGACCGGCGTCGCCGCGTGCCGGTCTCGCACGAGCGGTGCGCCCTGTCACGCACGCCCTCTTCATGACAGACGCGACGTCGGAGAATCCGCTGGCAACGGACGGTTGTAATGATGAAATCAATGACGGTGAACTCGAACTCATCTCGTGTACAATCTATAATTTCTGCGGTCTCGTCTTCTCTCATGTTGTCTGCACGCTTTGCTCTCGCTTCTTGCTTCTCGTTCTTGCTTTCGACGCACTGCTTATTTCCGACAGCACATCTAAGCACACGATGTCTCATTGTGCCCCCGGCTATCATAGACTTGCAGGTGGTTGTGAATTACCTCCGTTGCTCTGTACAAGCCTTACTCACCGTCAACCCCAACCGTTTGCATCTCGTTGGGATTATAGACTATTCTTCTTCGTGTATTAGCATCGGACGGACTCCGAGCATGTACATAAAAGTGGCTGAATGGCTTGTTTTCGATTTGGTACGGTACTACCGTACAAGACTACACGTACAGATGTACTGGATATTACAGAACAGGTGTGGGCAAGTTTACGGCAAGCGACCAAACAGACTGTTAGGCAAGTGGGGAGATACGAGGTAAACGTGCAGGCGAGCGAGTCCGTGACGGGGCAGGTGAGCGAGCTGACAGGTGAGTGGGCGAACAAGCCACTGGACGAGCAAGCGAGCAGCCATACAGATGGCGAGCAGGTGAGTTAACGAGTGAGCGACACGCTCCCAGTCCGCCTCGGAAAGCCGCCGCGGCATCATCCCAAGCTTGCGGATCGCCGCAAGTGGAAACGTAGACGACACGCTTGACAAACGTCTCGAATGCGAGCGCGGGCTCGAGGATGCGCAAGGTGCGAGCCCGACGGGGTTATGTGCGCGGACGCGGCTGTGTGCGGGATCAGATAGGTGCCCTTGACGGCCTCGCTGAACGCGCCCTCCTGTTGGGTATTGAACATGAATGCCGCACGTATGGTGAGAGGGAAGGCGCATACCTTGGCGACGTCCTCGATGACGGCTCGGAACTCGAGCTTGGGGCCGAATTCGACGAAGGCCTGTTTGAGCGACGCGACCTTGCTCGCGGACGGTCCCTCGGTCAGCGGGCGATTGGGTGCACGGGCGATTGGGTGCGCGGGCGAGTGAATGGGTGGGGATACAGGCCGGGGAGCTGGCCAACGGGCTGACTAGCCAGCGAGCATAAAGTGGGCGGGTGGCTAAAGGGGCGAGCGAGCGGGACAGTGAGTAAACAGAGGATCAAGTGGATGGCAGACGGGTTGAAAGGGGGACAGACGGGTAGGTGAGCCACCAATTGAGTAAACAAAGGATCAAGTGGGGGAACGAGTGCATGGGCGAACAAGTGGGACGGCCAGTGGATGCATGAGCTGGTAGGCAAGTGTACGAGTAAGCTGACAAATGGGCGGGCGAGCACTGAACGAGAGAGCAGGACGAACATATTGTTCGTCGATATCCTGCACACCAGCACTGGCGACGGTAGTAGTGAGTCTGCTCGCTTTGCTTGCCCTCGCTATACTCCTCCTCATTCTTGTTCTTCACGCTACCCTCGCTTCTGCGGCGTTCTGCGCTCGTTGCATTTGGACATGTTGCTCGGTGCTGGACTTGCACGCACGCCCGCCCCGTTGTGTGAGTCAAGTTCGGATGATGGTCTAGGGGGAGGCAGAAGAGAAAGAAGAAGCGGAAAACGGGGTCCGGGGAACAGAGGACTCGGAGGAGGTATGCGTTGATTGCGAGTCGTGACGTTGTGCGCGCTATTTAAATAATACTATTAATAGTATAATTATGCGCAGGAGCCAAGCGCTCGCATCGGGAGACGGCAATGTACCGCTCGCCGCTCGCTGCCTAAATTATGAGTCTCAGACTTCTCCTCAAGCCCCCATGCGCGCATGCTCATGATCCAAGTCTCGTCCCGTCGCCTGAGATGAGTCTTCGCTCTCGACCAATCCGATTCTCGCAGACCTCAGCAGACATGATTCTGTCATATCCTCAGGCAGCAACTCAATCCCCGACCTGCCGAACATGCACGGGATAGACGCAGCGTGCAAACACAGCCGACGAACGCACCACAGGTACGGCCACAGCGACGAGTGGAACACGGGAGGCGTGCAGATGTTGAGTGGGTGGCGGAAAGCTAGCGGATGGCGGGGACGGGTGAGGACAAGGCGAGGGCGAGTGCAGATGGGTGAGTGCAGACACTCGCTCGCGAGTGAGCTGGCTGCGGCCGCAGGATGCGGCGACGTGAAGCACGATGTGCACGCCAACCGTGAGCGCGCAGGGCGAATGCCTTGCGTGCAGGCACAGCCGACGAACAGGCGGCGGGCACATGAGCGAAGGGCGAGCGGCCAGGTGAGAGTACACGCCGACCGCGAGCGCTTCTGGATATTGATGCCCAGCGCGCACACAAGCGAACGAGTAGGCGGGTGAGCAGGCGAGTGGGCGGGCGGGCACAGGGCACAGGGCGCAACGACGTGCAGCGCGACGCGCACGGCGACGGTGAACACGCAGGGCCACGGCCGACGAACGGATGGCGGGAGGTTCGTATCTACTTCCCCATCTACTTATACATGAGTGGCTAATGATCTGATGCAATGGCCTCGGATGGCCGACCGCTACGTACGGTCTTGCTATCATCGACGCGTATTGGGCTCCATGTTTGTCAATTATCAGTTCACCTATGTAGAATAGCGGAGGGTCGTGACCGCAGGTGAGTTCTTACCGCAAGTCTTTTAAAAACCCCTTCAGATGGAAAATGCGCAGCGCTTGGCCAGGATATTCAAGGAGCACCTAAAACCGTCCACGGGCAAGGTGCGCAGAGGCATACGTATCCCGATGGACGGTGCGCCTACACTGCCCAAGTTCGTGGGACCGCCCTGCGGCAGGTGTGCTGGCCTACAAATAGTCAACGAGATCATGATGTTTCTTGTGAAGTACGCTACTCGGTCAGAAATGTCACTAGCTCGTGAAGATCGTCAAGCATGTATATACGTTGTGCTACAAGCCGGATGCAACGCGGTGCATGAGGGTGCGACTGTGCCCAGATGCAGTATCCCCGGGACCGTGTCATGCTTGACACACTCGCGATTAGGTCCGTCGCAAGTCCTACCGCACGGCGCTCAGGCTCATGGCCTCCGGCCCTTTAGGAGGTGTTCGTCCATCACGGCGACGGGTACGAGTCACGACCGTCCACGCGCGCGAACGACTCAGGAGTCCACGGACCAATGAGGTCCCGGAAGACACGTTGGACATATCTTGCGTTCCTCCCTCGTGGCATCATTGTCCGACGAGATGGGTTGTAGGTACGCATGTTCTCTTAGCTTAAGCTTGCACAGCCTACCATCGCTATGACTCAGACAATAACGATTCGGTCAACGTTCTCCTTTTCACCTGGGCAACCAAAGACGTCATGCATGTGGCGGCGATATTCACCAGTGCTCGCCGCGACGAACAACACATTATTTCCCCTTTGTCCAACGAGCTAGGCGGGCAGTTCGTCGTCATACGCGTGCGCCTTGCATAGTCTGCTAAGACAATTGCGGGCCATTCTCTTCCATTACAGGCAACCAAAGACGTAGCACACGAGCTGTCTCAGCTATCCTACAAAAGTGCGCCCGAGTCGTCTCCGTTCTTTCATTCAACCATGTCGTATAATCTTGCATATACGTTCTCTTGCCAGAAGGATTCCGTCAACTGCCTTGCTTTTTCTACAGACGGCTTGTACTTGGCAAGTGGGTCTGATGACTGTACCGTTTTCGTGCACGACTGCAAGCGAGGTATCGAGGTTCAAAAACTTGTTGGTGACGCCCCTGTCACTGCTCTGCTCTGGCACGCGAATGGCACCGGAGACGAGAAGTTGTTCATTGGCTATGGGAATGGTAAGCTGAGGTATATGGACATGCTATCGGTGCGTATTTCGCGTGATCAGGCGTAGGCGACCCGCTCACCAACTCGCCAGGCCGTACCGGACGGAATTCAGTTCCCTGTTAATGGCGACTTCCCGATTGAATGCATCGACTACGATGCTGCCAGTGACATGCTGGCGGTATGTACCACTCGTGAAGTGAGGCTTTGGGTACAGCGTCGAGCGAGTACGTCAGATATCCCCTCAGCCAACTCCTTGGTTGCTGACGCTTACCTAGATTGCTGGCAGTACCTATGCAAGCTACCCCATCCGAGGCAATCGAATGCCGCCTCCGCTACGGATGCCGCAGACGGCGCCTCTCCGTGTTCCGTACATTGGCTGGACTCCGGAACGCGCTTGATCGTTTCCTATATGTCTCACGGTGTCGTGTACGTATCAGGCCCGACTTCGATGCTGAAGCTGACGCATTGCCATTGACCCTAGATGCTGGAACGTCCAAAGCCTGAGGATGGAATGGCGACTGCCACTGAGGAGAATCCGGATGTGCGTTGACATGGTTTTTGAATTGATCAATGCGCCCATCCTCGCCTACAGAGGCAGATCGTCGCTATCCCAGGATAAGGAAGTGTTAGTCGTGTCAAATCTCCACGACGGGTTCGACCTGTACAGACTCCGCGATCAACGTCACCTCCGCACTTTCAAAGCCAAGGCGTCGATAAATATCCCCCTCCCTGCGTTGTTCATTCACGACGGAAAGGCTGTCTTGACAGGTAGTGACACTGGGCGTGTCTCTGTTTACGACTGCGGCACAACGCTGGTGATGCAGGTTCTAGCACATGGTGAGTGTTCATGTGCACCGAGCCCGTGAACGCGGCTTGAATGTTGTTGTTTGTCAGGACCTCACATCATTCAGACACTGGTGGGAATTCATACTGCGTCGTCAATTTGTGCTAAACTTCTCCTTTTCTCCAGGCCCAACATGATGGCACGGTCAGGCTTCTCGCAACGGCCTCGTCTGAGACTGGGGACCAAACATACATCAAATTGTGGCGGGCAGTGAAGTCAGGTACGAAATCTGGATCTATCACTCATCTCTGTTAATGCAATTTTCGTTATCAGTTCGATTGACAGAACCAGATCGTACGGCATCTCCGAGCTCGCGGACAGGAGAAACTATTGGGATGAAGTGTTACGTGTCTCGTTCCGTGGGCACGTCCTTCTTCGAGGACTCGAGCAACAGCGACAGCCGGGACGTACAATCATCTAGCGGTGAAGCTGAAGTAGACTCTGTGGATGACATGTTTCAAGACACCAGGCCCCGGAAGCCGACCGCTCTGCCGAAGCAGACTGAGTCCTACCAGGCGCCTCGAGGGCAACGGAGGCAGACCGAACCTGCAGCTCTTCAGACAGGACGAAGGCAGACCGAGCCTGCGGCGCTTCAGACAGGACGAAGGCAGACCGAGCCTGCGGCGCTTCAGACAGGACGAAAGCAGACCAAGCCCGCATTACCCCAGAACGAACACCGGCGTCCCGGCAGCCATATGCCTACAGGTCCAACGGTGACCGGCTATCCTGGTCATGTCTGGGTATGGTGCCTCATCATGACGTTTACCATTCTCGTTGTCGTTCTACTCCTCCTTGGTGTACTTGTCTATTATCGGGAAGACATCGTGAGTACTCATCGCACCTCCTAACTATCAAATCCTAACATCTAGGTCTTAGGTCGCCTTGATGTCGCAAGTGTCTCACGAATTACCCAAACATCAGTCACAGTGTGAACCGTAAGTTTTGAATGTGCTTGCCATATAGCTCGACTCACTCTGTGTCTCAGGACTTTGCGCGTGTATTAGCACCGGTTTCATATGCAGATCACGTTTCATGCTTGAGTGCGTGTGTGCGTGGGACGGGGTGATATGTAGGTTGTAGTCTACGTGTATGGCCATGGTGGAAATGCGGGTGAATGATATTTGTGGAAGGGCACGGTGTCGCCGAAACGTTCTGGGAGACGTCTGGTTGAGCATGCATGAATATTGTCTCTCGTGGCCGTACTTGCCGGAAGGCTGCTAGCACCACCAGCCTGAGTGGCGTAAGATCTTGCGGACTTAGGAACTTGTGCGCCACTGTCGCGGCGGCCTTTCGTGTGGGCGACACTTACAGCGGACGTACCATGCGGCGGCTCATACTCATTCGTCAGCAATACCGTCGAAAATGGCTCTTGCGAAGGGACGCATCCCTGCGCGTTGCGTATCGTCAGGCTGTAAGAGTTCGTGGGCTCGGAACCCTTGACTCGGGGGCCGGGCAGCCAGGTGAACCTCGAGGATTGGCGGTCGCGGTGCAACCAGAGAAGGAAATGGAAGAGGGTAGTCGTAAACAAGGCGAGGAGCGCCTGTTAGTGTCGTTAACTAGGCGGGGAGCCTAGCTATAGGTGGTGGGAGCGCGAGGAGCGTCCTAGGTCCTAGACCTGAAGCGAGGAGCCAGGTCGAGGGAAGTCCTAGGCGTGGCGAGGAGCTCAGGCCGAGGGGGATTCCTAGGCGAGGCGAGGAGCCAAGGCCGAGGACGGTCTCTACTGAACTACTCGGACGGCGCGGCGGGTTCGCACTCGGACGAGGTAGGTGTTCAGTGTCAAGATGAGATTACCTCCAAATATGGAAGTGAGATAACTAGGTACATGATGATGGGATCTTATCTACACTAACGGTTCATGATCTAATCTAAGAGGGCTGGCAATGTGTTGCCTACCCGTAACAGTGCCCCCCATCATGAAGTGTGTAGTGTGGAGGTGAGGGTTACATGAAGGCAGAGGAAGAAGTAAAGGTGAGCATAGAATAGGAAGGGAAAGATAAAAAGAAAAATTTTGGCAGTAGTAGACTGCACCTGGTTGTACAAAGGCTTTGCCACATCGAGGCTGAGCTGTTCCATTTGCGCTGCATTGCGAGCTGACATCCTCGTGGAGGGTATGCATATCCCTAGGGCTAGGGTCGGCTAGGCCCTGGCATAGCTCCCTATCTTCCCCTACCCCCTGCCCCCCAATCTCAAGTCGGAACGATCTGAGGGGAGTTTCGGCTTGAGATTCCATAGGGAAGAAGGGGCAGTGGTTACGAAAGGAAGGTGTGCAATGGACAAGGGTGGATGGCCAGGAGAACTAGTGGTATGATGCTCTCGCTCGCTCTCTTTCGCGGTGCTCGTTGGCTCGGGCTTGCACATACTCGATCATTGCTTTCTCGTCATTGAGAACCCCATCTCGTGTGCGACGTGTTTCAAGTTGCACTCGTGCTTCGGCCTCATGCTTCTCGTGAAATGCACGAACGTCGGCTTGACATTGCTCACGATATGATTCATTGATGTTCGCATAAGGTACTGGGTGGCTACGAGGCGCGCGGCAATATCGCGCTACCTCGTATTCGTCTTGCAACTTGAAGCCACCTGAGCGAGAACCTTCATGAGCGACTGACCAGTTGCGGCGTGAGGCAGGCAAAGATGGGACATCAGCACGAGAGGAGTGGGTGGCCATTACGGCCTGCAAGTGCGAGGCTGCTGAGTGATGCGAGGACGAGAAGGACGAGGTTGAGAAATCAGCGTGAGATACGAAGGAAGGAGCCTGCTCGACTCGTGTAGACAGGGCCACATGGGCGCTGCGATCGTGAACTGGCATAGGCGAGTCGAGCGCCGATGGATGAACACGGCGAGAGGGAGAATCCATGCTTGTCCTCGAGCCGAACAGGGTGCGATGATCGTGCTCGTGGGACACAGACGAATGCGTAGAGGGATGAGGAACTCGAAGGACCACAGGTTCGGCTGCCCGCACAGACCTGGTAGATGCAGGACAGGTACGAGGTTTGCGGCAATCTCGCTCGACCTCATATCCGTGTTGCGAACTGCCAGAGTGGGTGACTAAGCAGGCTGTCGAGTGATGCAGAGACGGTGTGGGTATATAGACATGGCGAGAGGATGAGACCGCGATCATGCTCGTCGAGGGATGCGAGGGCGGAATGGACGAAGACGAGAGGTCAGTGCGAGAAGCGGGGGATGGAGCTTGCGCCGCTCGTGCAGACGAATCTGCTCGCACGCTGCTATTGCAGCTGGGCCTGGATGAACCGTGCGAGAGTGGAATGACGCCGCACGAGGCTGTGGTTGTGATTGTCGAAACCGGTGGGGAGTGACCATCGTGATCATGGGATGCCGACAGGTTGAGAGCGAGTGCACATACGGAGCGACCGTGTACCTGAGCGGACGAGTCGAGCTGAGGAGGCGTTGACGAGGACGGGCGTATGGAGCGGTTACTGGGCGCGCGGCAAACTCGCACAGCCCTGTATTCGTCCTGGGAGTCGCTCGCGCGGGGTATTCCATAGGCGGGTGACGATGTCCGATGTGCGGCCGAGGGTGTGCAACGTGAGGGGGGCTCCGCTACTCCTCGCTTGTCTACGTGTTTGCTACCTAGCTGAGCAGCCGCCTCCTTGTCGACCTGGTTGCATTGCGGGCTCACGTCTATCGACCCTCCACTTGCTAGCCCGTGACCGGTTCGTACCACTCGGGGATCTTTACTAGTCGGAGACCATGCCCTGGCTAAGCCGGCAGTAGTGGCACGGCTACCGGATGTGCGGCGATCTCGCACGATCCGGCTTTCGTCTTCTAGGCCACCCGCACTCTGAGTCGCCTTGAAGAGGCTAAAGCACGGGTCAGACGACGGAGAGCGAGGGTGAGTGAACAGCGGCGGCGTAGACACATCGGACGAGGGTGCACCGAGTGATAGCTGTACGTCGAGCGAGCCGGAACTGCTCGGGGGTCTAGGCGCATTGAGGACGGACGTGTGTGCGGAATGGGAGAGCAGAGAGGAGGATGGGTCGAACGGGGTCAGAAGGGCAGAGCCTGGGCGTGGAGGAGAGACCGTTGGACAGAGACTGACAGCGGTACTTACAGCGGTCGTCCTTGGTTGTTCTTCTTGTCTATCGACCTTCCTCTCCTCTTCGTTGAACTTTCTCTCCTTTTCGTCGGCCTCCCTGTCCATCCCTTTGTAGTGAGATGTCCGTCTGTTAGTCGGGACATCCTTCACTGTTGGCTCTGTACACGTCTGCGTGGCTTGCACGTCGATCTTGTTGTTGCATTGCACACGCGCGGGGGATGGCTCGTCCTTCTGCGCTTGACTGAGGCTAGTGGAGCGGCTACCAGACGGGCGGCGGTCTCGCCCTGTCCGGTACCTGTCTTGAGAGTAGTCCGCGGGAGTAGTTTCGTAAGTAACTGGAATACCAGGACGCAAGTCAGACGGCCAGGGGCTGGTCGAAGGAGCTGAGTACGGGAGCGAGTCCGTTGATGTTTGACGGATGGAAGAGGGCGAGCGAGCATGGCAGGAAGGCGTAGCCTCGTTGATCGGAGAGTCTTGCGTCCGGTGTGCGAGTTGGACGCACAGAAGCATAGGCGCGTCGGGCGCGAGCGTGTGATTCGAGGATTGATGTGCAGAGCACGCACGCGAAGAGCCAGATGGCTGAGATACAGGCGAGGGTTTGCACGGTAGAGTCGTCTCGATTTGTATATGCTCTCTCCCAACCTCCTGGCCTAACCTGCTCGCGCTTGGAAGCCCCCCCGTCGAGCCTTCCCATTGGCTTGTCTCCGCGATGGGCAAGGTCTCACCGAATGCTTCTGAGCGAGCTGGCGCCGCTTGCTCGTCTTCAGCGGGTGACAGACTTGCTATAAAGCTAGAAGTTGCGACGTTGCCGAGCGAGCGGCAGTATCGCTCGGCCCAGCTTTCGTTTAGCAGGTCGTCCAAGCCGGGAGAGTCGACTATAGACGGGGAAGTCGACGAAGGCGCCGGCGAGAGGAAGCGAGGTGGAGACGTAGGCATATTGGGAACCGGCGAACGAGCCGGACGGGAAAAGGTCGAGAAGGGTGGAAGCTGTAGCGGACCGGTTGGAGTACTCGCGGGCTTTCTTCCGCCTCGTCTCTCTGCCTGGTTGCTATCCGCGCCCAGCCGCCTGACATCTACTGACACCTCGCCTGATTGTACGTCGCTGCTCGGATGGATAGGGCTCGGAGCTTCATCCACTGGCCTTGAAGCGATGTAGTACGGCGCAGGGGTGCGAGAGCGCTCGACTAGAGGCGGTGACTTAGTTGGGTCAGCAGTTGGGTCGTCGGACGCGCGGCAGTTCCGCACTGTCCGGTGTTCCTCTAACTGAACCCCAGCTGGCAGAGTCTTGAAGGTCGTCGAAAGGCCGACGTATGATGATTTCGATGAGGGTGTGCATCGCTTGAGTGAGTCGAGCGGCGGGGGCGTGTGGCTCGAGGGCTGAAGTGACGAGCGCGGGCTGGAAGAGACGCGCGACGCTGGCGAAGGTGGATAGGAAGAATGCAGGAGCTTGGGCACGTCGAGCGACGACGGGTTAGCCGAAGTAGGTGTACTGATGCGATGCGAGCATGCCGTCGCGTCGAGCAGGGACGGGAGTGCGGAACGTGGGCGTGGAGGAGAGGACGGAGGCGAGTCGGGCGACAGCGGAGACACGGTGTATGTGCGAGGAGAGACGGATGGTGAGGGCTGATGTACGGGCATGCTCGCCGGCGTCGTCTCGACTCGCTTGTCTGTTTGTTGGCCGTCCCTGCCCGACCGGCCACAGTCCGTCTGCTTCCCGTACCATTGCTCGTATTCGCTCTTCACGACGGGCAGGGTCTCGCCATTGCGCGAATGTTCGACCCGGAGCGTTGAAGCGGAGACAGCGGAACGACTACTGGGCGCGCGGGAACATCGCACTGCCCAGTCTTCGTCCCGAGGGCCGCCTTCGCATGTGGTTGGGGTGGGCGACCAGACCTTGGGGAAGTCGTCGTCTAGCGGCCTGCTTGCGCTGGGAAGTTCTCCGCTCGAGCCTTCGTGTTGTCTTGTCTTAGCGATAGGCGACGCCTCGTCTGCGCATGCCTCAGCGCAAGTCGGCGCGGCTCGCCCGTCTTCGACAAGCAATAAGCTAGCGGTTGTGTTAATAGCCAGGCTTGAGACTGAGGGGTGGCTGCCAGACGCGCGGCGAATCCGCACGGTCCGGAGTTCGTCCTGCGGGTCGTCCGCGCGAACCGTCTCGAGGGCAACCGGACGGTCGAAATGTGAGACGGGCGACGAGGCGGAAGGAGAGGGTGCCGAGTACGGAGACGAGTTGGACGGCGATGTAGATAAGGGCGGACTTGCGGAGCGCGGACGAGAAAGGACTAACGCGACCTCCTGCCTGAGATTGGGCGGGCTCGTCGTCGCGACTGTCTCGCGGTTGTTCGATATATGAGCGTGCTTGTTTTTGCGCGTGGAGTTGGAGACTGCGAGGTGACTACCGGACGTGCGGCGGTTCCGCACAGCCCAGGATTCACTCTGCGGGCTGCTCGAGCGAACTGTTCCGATCGAGGTCGAATGACGGAGCAGTGAGGAGGGCGATGGTGACGATGGTGCGCTTGGTAAGCGCGCTGAGCATGCAGGCGAGTTGCGAGCAGGCGAATGCGCGTGGTACGAGCTCGGAAGGGCGAGTGCGCTTGCAGAGCACGGGAACGGAGAGGACAGTGGAACATCGGGCGCGGACGCGTATGGGGGCGTACAGAGCAAAGGCGACGACACGGGCGAGCTGGCACCGAGCGAGGTGGACGCGACGGGAGCAGGCGGATACGTGGGACGCGAGTCGAGAGAGGAAGATGGTCGTAGTTGAGAAGCAGAATAGCTCACTGCAGTCTTGTTCACTTCTCTCTCTGCTCGGCGACCCTCTTCGACCTGCGAACCATACACGCGGATGGTCTTGGAGCTCGTGTCGGATGGGGTGTCTCTTTGGCTCGCCGCGCGCGTTAGTACGATAGACTCGCTGTGGTCCGGCGCTTTGGTACGAAGTTGTTCGTCTTCGAGCTTTGTTTGGCAGCTACCAAACGCGCGGCGGTTCCGCACGGTCTGGCGTCTGTCTTGTCGGCCGTCAGTTAGTTCGTGAGAGTTTCCGAGAGTAGTCGGATGGCTGGGGAGTGCAGACGCGGAGTTCGTCTGCGCGACCATCGAGGGATCGACATCGTTCCGGGCGAGTGCGCGTGGGGTTTCGCCTTCGGGCCTGAAGCCGACGACGATGGGATGGCCACCGAGCGCGTGGAGATTTCGCACTGCCCGTGAGTTGTCCTGCAGGCCAAGAGAGTCGCTGAGTCGGAGGGATGTTGGAGCGTCGAGAGTTGACACCTGCAACCGACTTGCGGACGGGAGAGACGGGGAGTGCAGGTGAGCGGACTTGCTCGCTGCAGTCGTCTCGACTCCCCTACCCTCTGTGTCGACGCTCAGGACTGGAATACTTATGCTTGCTGATCTATCATTCGATCCTTCGCTTCGCCTCAATCCAGTCGGCACGACTGATGGAACGTCTTCTTCGCGTACGTCAGGTTGCTCGGTTCCATACATTGAGCAGGCGGCGGCGAGGTGGCTAACGGGCGTGCGGCAGTTCCGCATTGCTCGACACGAGTCCTGTGAGCCACCCCTGCGGGGAGACCGATCTAGTGAGTGATCAAGGTGTGAGGACGCGGGCGAGGGGTCAGACTGAGGCGTGACGGTACACCGGGACTGCGGGATGGAGTGACCGTGTCCTGGGAGAGCGGGCTGAGAGATTGAGGTCGTAGCTACTCGATCTCCTGATTCCTCGTTGAAGCAGCTCGTCCTCGCGACGGACGTCACATCCTCGGGGGCATTGACGTGCAAGTCGAGGTGACTTCAATTGGTGAGCTCGCACTTGACTGGGCGGACTTGATGCTGCGCGGATGCTCGACCTCGAGCGTCGACACCGTGAGGGCGGGCAGGCTACCGAGCGCGCGGCAGTTCCGCACTGCTCGGTACCCGTCTTGCATGCCGTCTGCGCGGGAGTATCCGAGGGAAGGCGAGTCGTCGATGCGGAAGGGAGATGACGGGGTGCTGACAAGGGGAGCAGACGAGGCTTCGAGCGAGAGCGGGGGCGCGATGCGAGGACGTGGAGGAGAAGACAGGGAAGGGAGATGGACAGGGGTACTCACTGGAGTCAACGAGACTCTCTTCTCCACTTCGTCGACTTCTCTGCACGATTCATCGCGCCGATTCGTTTTCCCACTAGCCTGTGTATCCTCCAGATGCCAGGTTGCGCACGTCGGCACGTCTTCACCCCATGGGCCCGCCGCTGAGCTTGTATCCGCGTGAACAGATGGACTCGGAGCAGCGGTGTCGATATCGGCCGTGCAGCAGTTCCGCACCGTCCGGTGTTCGCTTAGAGTTTTCTTCGAGTTGGCCTGCGCTTGTTTTCTCTCAACCTCCGGACCGAAGACGCTTGCTCCGGGCAGCCCCCCACTCGAGCTTTCGCGTCGGCTTGTCCTGGCATTAGGCGGGGCTTCGTCTTTGTGCACCCTGCTCGAGTAGTCGGGGATCGCTCGTCTTCGGCGAGAGAAGGGATTGCCGACGCGTTAGCTGCAGGACTCAGGGCTGCAGGGTCGTTACCGGGCGCGCGGCCGTTCCGCACAGTCCGGTATTCGCCCTGCAAGCCGTCCGTGCGGATGCCTACAGTCGAGGTCGAGAGTGAGTGCTGTAAGGGCGCAGACGCGTCGGGCGAGGGCTGGAGCGAAGAACGTGAATATGGAGGGACGGACGGAGGGGCTCTATGCACTGGAATGGACGGAGGCGAGCCAGGCGGCGAAGGACGGGAGGACGGCGAGACGTCCACAGACGGAGACGTGGAGCGTGCAAGAGCGAAGACGGATGTAACCTCCTGCTCGAGTCTAGGTGGGGTTGCCTCACGGTAGCTAGGTACGCGGGCGAGCTCGTCTCTACGCACGGGTTTGGAGCTGACGAGGTAGCTACCGGACGCGCGGCAACCTCGCACTGTCCGGCACTCGAGTGAGGGCGTGGACGGAAGTGCGAAGGACGAGTCGATCGAGTCGACGAAGGCGGGTGGCGGACGGCGACGCCGACTGCAGAGCGCTTGGAGGGGCCGTAGACACGTTGAACGAGGGCGCGGGAGTATGGCACGAGGACTCCGACGCGGCGAGCGAGAAAGGGAACGTGTCGGGAGAGGGCGAAGACGCAGTGCGCAGACGAAGGACGGGCGGTGAGGGCTGAGGAACGGAAGCACTCACCGGAGTCTGTGCGACTCGTCTCTCCCTAAGGTCGACCTCCCTGTCCGAGCTCTGTTGCCTCCCTCTTGACACGACGAATTGGTTCGTATTCGCGACGAGAGGGACCTCTTTAGGCGCACCTGCCAGCACTGTCGCGTTCAGCGTGGCTGGGTCGTTGACTAGCGGCCTGCAAGTTCGATCTTGCTCGCTTGCGCGCTCTGTACTGTCAGCTGAAGGGCGACTACCGGGCGTGAGGCGATCGAGCGCAGCTCGACATTCGTCCGGGAGGTCGTCCGCACGAGACGTCTCGCGGTTGGCTGAACGGTCGAGGCTCAAGGTAAGCGACGAGGTACTTCCCCGGTAAGGCTTGACGCGAGTCGGCTGAGCTTTCACAACCGGCGTATATGCGGGTTGTCGGTCGTTCGTCCGCGCTGTTATCGGGACTTCCTCGCGGGGCCTCGATGCACGCGTAGTCGAGACGGTTTCACCATCACGGAGTTGCTCGACCTGGAGTTTTGAGACGGAGACGACAGGGTGGCTACTGGGTGCACGGCAGTTCCAAGCTACCCAGCATCCTTCCTGCAATCCATCCGTGCGAGGAGTGCTGGTTGGCGTCGGCTGACTGAGGAGCGTGGATGGCGACGGAGACGAGGGCGGAGGCGTGTAACGCGAGGAAGGAGAGGAAGGCTGTGAGTGAGTGACTTCGGGACCCACTGGAGTCATTTCGACTCTCCTCTCCTCTCTGCTGGCTTCTACACTCCTCTCCTCGCGGTGCCTCATCTTTACGCTCGCTGGGGTATCTTCCGGACGCTTGGCTGCGTGCGCAGGCGCGTTCAGCAGGACGTTCTTGGTTTTGCACTGTCGTTCGACCTCGGATGTGGACACAGCGAGGATAGGTTGGCTATCGGGCGCGCGGCAGTTCCGCACTGCCCAGTAGCTTTCTCGCTGGCCGCCAGTGTGATAGGTGCCGGTCGAGGTCGGGCAGCTTAGGCGCGTGGAATCGGGCGAACGAGCGAGGCATGGAGGCGCGGGCACGTCGGACAAGATCTTGAGCATGGAATGCGGACGTGGGTGGACGGGCAAAGAGCGCGTGATCGAGTCGAGTGATGGTTGGCTGGTGGAAGTGGGCGGCGAGGACGGAAGTGAGTCGGAAGATGAGAGGGACGCAGTGGACGAGGACGAAGGCGTGGGGCGTGGACGAGGATGGATGGACGGAGAGGGTTGACGGGTAAGAAGACTTACCGCGGTCGTTCCGATTCGCATCTCCTGTCTGTCGTCCTTCCAGCCTAGGGTCCTCGTTCCTGGCACTTCCCTTCGTGATCCCTCACGTCTGTTCGTTCTTGCGATGGACGAGGGGTCATCATTACCCGTTCCTGCACGCGTGGACATGGCCTCAGTGCGTGCCTCAGTGCGCTTTGGGACGGCTTGCTCGGCTAGCTTGCGGGCAGACGAGGTGCGGTCTCCTTGGTCTTCGCACTGGGAGTTGACGGCTGCAGGCAGGCTACGGGGTGCGCGGCGGTCTCGTGCAGCCTCGTATTCGCCTTGCGAGCCACTCGTTCGGGTTACTCCTTGGGTCGGCAGTGAGCGGTCGGAAGTTGGAGGACGAGCGGAACGATTGTCCGGCACGCCGAGAGCTTGTGTCGCGCGGCTCTCGTGAGCAGGCACAGACGGAACAAGCAGGAGGTCTGCGGACGTGGAGAGTGGCGGTAGCACGGGCTCGGGAGCGCGAGATGGGACCGCCGGTGCATTGAACAACGACGAGGGCGCCAGGTAGGTAGATGGATGGCTGAGGAATGGCAAGGGCGAACGGTCCATCAGGTATCTTTGCGCGAGCGCCGCCTGTTCAGCAGCGGCTGTTTCACAGGCGCGAAACGCGAGGACTCGGGCTTGCCAGTATTCTCGGGACGAACTCGCGCCCGCGGGTCGTCCACCAGGCGCGCGGCGCGATCGCACGGCCTGGACATCGTTTTGAGGGCTGCCCACTCGACAAGTTCCGAGGGCCGTGGAATGGCCAAGGCGCAAGAGTGACGGTGGTGGTGCGGGCGAAGGAGTTAGCTGCGGATGGGCGAACGTGGATGGACGACGGCAGCGCGGGGAGGCGATTGCGTTGATCGAGGACGTGTTCGCGGAATGGGGACGAGGAGAGTACGAGGCGGAAGCGTGCAACGCGTGCGCGGGATCGAGGAAGGTGGAAACCGGGGAACTGTGGTACTCACCGGAGTCGACCTGACTCGGTACTCCTGCCCGTCGACCTCCCTGCTCGACCTCAAGCTGGCGGAAGCATCCTCCGGGGGCCTTGGAACACGCGTCGACGCGTCTTGCGAGGTCTTGCAGACGCAAAGCGCGCTGCTCGTCGGCGCTGCCTGTACGGCCTTCTCTGCGCTTGACCTTGCATGCGCCGAGGCGGCTTGTTCGTGGGACTTGCAGACACGCTGCGCGTGTGTTGACCGCGCCGTGGACAAGGCATCGAGTCGGGAGCTTGACGCGTCGGACTCTCGAGGGTGGGCGCGCGGTTGCTCGACTTCGGGCCTTGGACTGGCGTCAGCGGGGTGACTACCGAGCGCGCGGCAGTTCCGCACTACTCGGTGGTCATCTCGAAGGTCGCCCGCGAGAGTAGAGCGGTGAGCGGAGGGAAGGCGGGGTGCGAGATGGGACCGGGAGCGAGATGGCCGTCAGGAGCAAGTAGCTCAGCGCTTGACGACCTCGGGCATTCGCTCGGCGATGTAGCGCCCACGGACTTCCGCATGAGCTCGGACCGAGCAGCTGGTGATGCTGGGCCGCAAGAAGGGAATGGGGCGGTCGAGAGCCTCGAGGCGCGATCGACGAGGCGTAGGGACCGGCGCCACAGACGCGCGAGCTGTTCGCTGGCGCGGGAGCTCGGAATGGACTCAGAGCTCGCCATTCCGAGCATGAGAGCCAATTGGCAGATGGCATAATTAGAATGGAACCAGAATAGAGTACCTAGAGCTAGGATAGATGAAATCCAAGAGTTCACAGGGCAGTGGACCGGCTCCCTGAGTGTCCACCAATGTAAGAGTTCGTGGGCTCGGAACCCTTGACTCGGGGGCCGGGCAGCCAGGTGAACCTCGAGGATTGGCGGTCGCGGTGCAACCAGAGAAGGAAATGGAAGAGGGTAGTCGTAAACAAGGCGAGGAGCGCCTGTTAGTGTCGTTAACTAGGCGGGGAGCCTAGCTATAGGTGGTGGGAGCGCGAGGAGCGTCCTAGGTCCTAGACCTGAAGCGAGGAGCCAGGTCGAGGGAAGTCCTAGGCGTGGCGAGGAGCTCAGGCCGAGGGGGATTCCTAGGCGAGGCGAGGAGCCAAGGCCGAGGACGGTCTCTACTGAACTACTCGGACGGCGCGGCGGGTTCGCACTCGGACGAGGTAGGTGTTCAGTGTCAAGATGAGATTACCTCCAAATATGGAAGTGAGATAACTAGGTACATGATGATGGGATCTTATCTACACTAACGGTTCATGATCTAATCTAAGAGGGCTGGCAATGTGTTGCCTACCCGTAACACAGGCAGGGGCGTATGCCATGGTTTCCACCCTTCTCCTGCTTCCCCCGATATTCCTCCTGTTTGCAGCTACTCTTCTCAACGTTTCTACCATTCCGGTCATTGTTTGGTCGATCGACACACTGTTGTTGATTTTCTTCGGCTGCGGTACGTATGCATACGCAGGCACTAGCCCGCGCGAGGAGCTGATGCTCGCTCCAGAAGCCCTTCAGCCCGAAGCACCGCCTTGCCATTCGGAACCAAATGGCCGTTCGTTCACGATATTTGTGAACGGTGTTGCAGAAAAGCCGGTGCAAACAGGTGGGGTGGTCGGACGTTCGTCGAATCCTGTCAATGACGACCTATTCAGTTGTTCGGGCCGACTACACCATACAGGACGTCCTTCGCCAGCTTAAACGACAACATACAGTCGCAAATATGCACCGGATCCGATACTCCATATACTATGATCCTTTCAAGTCTTCAGCTCTGCGTCCACACGATCGCCTTTGCGACATGGGTGCGGGACCTCTGTCGACCCTACACATCCGCTTTCATGTCTTGGGAGGAGCCAAGGACAAAGGAAGGGCACAAGGTCAATTTACCGGATTGAGGCTGTGATAAATCATTAAGTCAACGTATACAGTGGACGGGGTGGACGAAGAGGGTAGCGGCGGGCAAGGGCCATCGCGGTTGCAACAGCGCACCAAAAGACGTGAGCAAGCTGCAGTTATTTGGTAGCAGCGATATATTGATTCGGATGCAAGGTCCACCGCCTGGCGAACGGTCGGAACAACGGCGAGCGAAGGAATCTGCCTTGAATGCCCTTCTCGGCGAATTAGATGGGTCGTTGCAACCATCCCCTAATCGTCCAGAGAATTCCGTGAACCCAAGAACCAAAGCAAACCAGGCTGATCATGAGGCGGCTGCTAAATCGATGAGCCCATCCCACATTTTCAAGGCTGCATCCATCTCAGGGACTCCTCGATTGCCGTCCGTTGTCTCCCCCTCAGCCTCATCGCCTGGGGCCGCAGCCTCCCTGCCAGAATCCCATCGAGCACGAAAGGCAAGATCGCATGCTGACTTAGCATATCTTCACGAATTGGCGTCTTATCGTTGCCTCGCCTTCACCAACATTGGACCGCTAGTCTTCCGCCACGATCCAAAAACTTCGGACGTGTATCAAGCCTCGAGAGACGAACAAATCATCCACACGAACCATGGTCCTCATGCGTTGGTACCCGGACATCGACTCAACGCGACGTTCTTGGACCACGAAGAATGGTTGGCCTCTATGGCGCGAGATCTACTAGCCATGCCTATCTACGAGGATGTCGAGCTTCGCGACGCTCATCAGGACGTCCTCGAGTACGTGTATAGGGAGATGGATGTTCTAGAGCGGGCGAAGAGAGACCAGTGGGATAAGCAAAGGGATCACTCCGCTACGCGACCCGATCCTGCACTGCGCAACGTCGTCGATGGCGGTGCGTTTCAACCTTCATTACGACGGCTGTATGTGAACTGACCCGTGGATAGATCGCTACTTCTTCAAGACGTACGAGGACATGAATCCTGTCGTATTAGGGTACAACCTTGTGGCGCTTTCCATGGTGCTATTGCATCACTTGCCTCGTCGAGGGTGCAAAGCGTTGCTTACTGGCTTTCGTATGGTGATGAGGCTTGCGCTCATGTTCGCCAGACGAGGAGCACTAGAATCTGCTGATCGGTTGTTACTGGATAGTCTCGCGCAAGACGAGCGCACGATTATGGGCCAATTTGATCTCGATCCGGTGACGACGCCTTATGCGTGTTGTCCGCGATGTAACGCGTTGTATCACATCCACGATTGTCCACGGGAGTGCCTCTCGAAAGATACCCCGGAAAGCCAAGTCTGTGGATCTGCGCTGTGGCGGACCCGGGTTATCAACGGGAAGACGTACTCGTTTCCGGAGAAGACTTACCTTCATCAAAGCATGAAGCATTGGTTGGCTCGGTTTCTTTCGCGTCCAGACGTAGAGCCGTTGGTGGACGCTAGGAGGGAACAAACTCCATCTCAGCTCCCAGATATCCAGTCAGATGTGTGGGATGCGCCTCTGTTCCACGAGTTCAAGGACGCGGCGGGCGGAGCATTCATCAAAGGCCCATCGGAGGAGGGGAGATACCTGTTCAGTCTCTCTGTCGACGGCTTTAACCCGTTTCAGGCAAAGGAGGCTAAGCAAAGCGTCACAGTCACCGGAATATACATGGTCTGTCTTAACCTTCCACCTCAAATCCGTTACTTGCCGGAGAACACATACCTTGTCGGCATTATTCCTGGACCCGGCAAACCAACACTCGAGCAGATCAATCATTTTTTGAAACCATTGGTCGACGAACTGGTGGATTTCTGGCACCCAGGAGTATGGTTCACCCGCACCGCACTGTACCCGGCCGGTCGATTGGTCCGCTGCGCTTTGGTACCTCTTGTTTGTGATCTTCCTGGAGCGCGTCAAGTCGCGGGACATGGCTCGCATAGTGCGACCCTGTTCTGTAGCTTCTGCAAACTGAAGTTGGAGGATATGGAGAACCTCGATCCGAAGTCGTGGCCGCTACGAAGTGCGAAGGAGCACCGAGATGCCGCCTTGAGGTGGAAGGAAGCACGTACCCCTGCTGCACGCAAACGTCTATTCGAAGAGGCTGGTGTGCGTTGGTCGGAGCTTCTCCGATTGCCGTACTGGGATCCAATCCTGTTCACGGTCATTGACACTATGCACAACCACTACCTAGGTCTCCTGAAAACCCACTGCCGCGACATATGGGGCTTGTCTATCGAGGTGGCTGACGGAACGGTAACGGAGCACATGCCACCAAAACCAGCAGATGCGGAAATGGCCGTTGCAACGCAGCTGGTCCTCAATGGAACGGATCACAGCTTGGAGCTGCTAGACAAGAACACACTGTGGCATCTGTGTCACAAGTATGGATGTCGCCGCTACGGCAACGTAAAGAGGTTGCGGAAAGCATTGCTGGCATACGTACGTTCCATCCTCGATTCTTCATAATTCATACTGACACCGGTCTGTACAGCGCGCCGAGAACAACCTCGGGGGACACTTGACAGGGTCAATCAGCAGGCACAACCCGGTGATGCGCAACAAAGCGGCGGCGGAGGAATACCAAGCGGATCCCAGATTGCCGCCTCACGCGATGAACAGCAGCGCGGGCTCGAAGCAGAGATGCTCGTTGTCAGAGCAGAGAAGGCCTGGCAACAGGGGAAGTCCGCTAAGACACTCGTTAACAGCCACACAAGGACTACCTTGGTTGGATTATGTGCACGACATGCGCTCGCTACCGACGGAACAAAGAAACAGCTTGTCGATAGGCTTATGCAGGTGGTACGTATCTCGTTCTCACAGAGGGGTGTAACGATGACACTAAAAGCTTGCAGCGTCAAGAACGGCCATCGCTAGGAGAACAGGCTGCGTCGTCTTCCCAGGTTGTACTGCCCCTCGTTCATCATTTCCATCCACCTACTGATTGCCGTTTCAGGACCACGACGTTGTGCCCTCTACGGATGAGGTAAGGCTCCCGTCGAGTACGGTTTTGGGCCGAGAGACCCTTTTGAAGATCCACGACGATATGCGCCGTACGCAGGTACCGTCATGGGTAGACCCGGCCCCGAGGAACTTCGGAACGAAGCAACGAGGGAAACTGAGTGCTGACCAGTGGTTCTCCGTTTGTACCATCAATCTCCCTTTCACCCTGATCCGCATCTGGGGCGACGAGCAGGGCAGGCGAAGGGCTATGTTGCAGAACTATATGGACCTCATGACTGCCGTCGTCATGAGCAGCATGCTCGCTATCAACGACAGCCATGTCAAGGCTTACGAAGAAGCCATCGTGCGGTATCTGCGCTCTTTGAAGGATCTATACAAGGCATCCGAATTCAAACCGAATCACCACATGGCCCTACACGTAGGCGCGTTCTTGCGGAGGTTTGGACCCGTCCATTCAATTCGGACGTTCTTCTCGGAGAGAATGAACTTTATGCTTCAGCGGATCAACACAAACCGCAAATTCGGTCTGTTGTCTTGTCGCAGCTATAAATTGCGACGCGTGCTGATGGCTCTTCAGGCGAACTAGAGCTAACCTTCATGAAGACGGCGTGCCGCTCGGCGAATCTCAGGGCGCTCCTACGCGCGGACGGGATACGGAACGTTGTCAAAGACTTCACCGACATGTACGACGGGCTCTTTAACGAGAACAAACGAGGGACCAGACTACGCGAAACATTGCTTGGCGATGAGAACGAACGGCGGCAGGCAACGGTACAAGAAGCGAAGTCAGCGGTGGCTTTGGACAACGACGCGTTCAAAGCCTTCATCTCATTGCTTAATACCGAATGCACGATGGAGTCGTTTGTGGATATTCGCGAGCTCCGGCTGAAGCCTGGGCTTCAACAAATGGTCAATACAGTGGTGGACTGCACAAGCTTATTTCTGCATGGTGTGACGTATAAGGCCGCTGCGAAATCGCCCAAGGATAGCAACATCGTCTTCTCCCACCCAGGCATCAACTCTGGAGAAGGGGAGCATTGCGCTGGACGCATCAAGCAAATATTTGTGCATAGAAGGCGCAGCAGCGGGGGCGACGAAATGCGGGAGGTCTTTCTGTGCGTTGAACGTTTAGCCGAGCTTTCCACTGAAGACGCAGGCCGCGACAATTACCGCAAATTTCCCCACGTTGGAGGTCGCCTCTACTACGACAGGTATCATTGCGAGCCAGTGGTGATACGACCAAGTCATGTCATCTCCCACTTCGCTAGAACTTCGACAACGGTGCCTCAAATCCGGCAACCATGCGTGCATGCCTTGCCATTGAATAGGGTACGTGAGCTTACACCATCACTGTGGCGTTGTATTGAGCCAGCAAGCGGTCCATAGCTCCTCAGACTGGCGACCCCGTCCACAACGTCCGCAACGGAGGACCAGCAATCATCAGAGGAGGCTGTACTCGCAGAGCTCTTGGCGGATCTGGCAGGGGTCAATAGCGCAGGTACCGTGTAGACCATCGTAACTCGCAAGGATTGGAGAATCTCTCAGCGGATTGCCAGGATAACAAAATGACCCGCTTTCGCTTCATCCCATCGCCGCTCAAAGAACAACCGAGATACATACAGCCACCACCAATTCTACTTAAGAAATACGGCGAGGGTAAGGAAGTTTCCCCCGGGCCGCCCCTGAGACGTAGTAGTTGAAGAGGCGCGGCGCCCACGTACTAAAGACGTCTGCGTTGCCGCCCAGCTGTCAGTAAGGGACCTGTTGAGCTGCATGAGTACCCACTGGATCCGAAGGAGGCGATGCGCTGTATGTGTTCGCTCGCCAGAAGGGAGGTGAGGGAAGCCTCATTCGCGCGCGAATGTACTAGATTTGCTGGTTGCTATGCGGCGTCAACGCTGTTCTCGACGGTGACGCAGTCACTCTCACCTTCTGCCCTCCTCCGTAAGATATACCCACGGCGAGGGCCGGGAAGTTTCCACGCCGATGGACCACATCCTTGCGGGAAAAGGAGAGCTTCGTGCGGGCCTCTGAGATGGCAGCTGCGGCACCGGTGTGCACACCGGTCCAGGCTGGGTCGTTGGGGGCGCCAGAAAGGACGGCGATGACTCGCCCAGACTCGTCGGTGATCGGTCGAGGGGTCCTGCAGACACACAGCGTGTGATGATGGCATGCATGGATGCAAAAGCGCCGCGTACCTCCCATCCCAACGAATCAACTCGAAGCCAAACTCTGATCCCTCGCCGACCAAGTCATCCAGCGTGTATTGCCGACGCGAGGTACGCGGCTCCCTGCCCCCGGTGTACGCGCCGTTGGAGTGCGGTAGGGCTTGAGTAGCAATGTCCGTGCCGATTGAAGGAGCGGCGTCGATGTGTCTGTTGAGGAGCGGCAGCCGCGGCCTCTGCATCGTCGCGTACGGCGACGCGCTCTCCGCTCGCTGCCGCTTCCGTTTTGCTCGCACCTGGGCCTTTCTTCGCTGTCGCTCGATCGATCGCGAGCCTGCACCGAGGCACGCCCCAACCGTACCCGCAGCGCTGCCCGGGTGGTCGGATTCCGCTGAAGATCCCGTCGCTTCGGCTCGTAAGCTTGATGACTCAGCGCTGAACGGGGTGTGGACCAAACCGAGGCGCGAGCTCGGGGCTGGCTGCGCGTTTGCGGCGCCCAAGGGGATTGGTTCGCAATCCTCCCCTTCGCTGAAAAGGCCCTCGTCTTCCCTTGCGATGGCCGCCGCCAGTAGTTGGCGGAACGCGAATCCAGAGTCGGCCGCCGCGATGAGCGGTTCACCTAACGAGCCCCCGTGAGCACCACCGTTTAACGTCGACGGCGTCTGGCCCGTCGCCAGACGCCTAGCAGTACGGGTGCCATCCCCCAGTGCCTGGCTTGGCTCCGCGTAGATGCGCCCGCACTGCTCGTCCGCCTAGTAGCAGGGCCAGAGAGGAGTTGCGCGCTCACCAAAGACCGGGGAAGCTACGAGCGCCGCTAGCATGTCGACGAGCAAGCACCCCGGGGGTGTTTGAAGCCAGCAGCCTGGAGATGAAGCCGCCGCCGACAGCGAGTCGCAGGCTCGAGGCTGCGCCCGTCCCATTATATAGCGGTGCGTCCGACGCGCCTGCGTGGGAGTTTAGTAAAGTGAATATCGCCGCACGTGATACACGTGCAGTGTGACAGCACGCGAGCGTGACAGCAGCCCCGTACGCCGAGCCAGGCCTTGCTTCCACCTCCACCGTGCTAAGCCAAAGCCCGAGGCCCGCCCTACTCCGACCTGACCCACCAGTACTACTAGTGCCCATGATCTCCGCTCCGCGAACCCCGCAGCCTTCTCGCCGTCCCATTGGTACCGCGGCCGGTGAGTGACACCTCGTTTACGGCGTTTCCGTGCTACAGCTGCTGATCATGAAGGTTTGCTGCGTAGGAGGACAACGGCTGCGTAGGAGGACAACGGCTGCGTAGGAGGATAACCGCATGCAGAGCGGGGGGCATCGCTGGGGACACACAGCGTCCTCGATCACAACGCGGTGAGCCAATATAAGAGCATCGTTTCGTCCACTGAATGTGGATCGATCGTATTGAAGGGCTAGGCCGCTATGCGGTTTCGAGTACAGGGCGGCTACGCCCTCAGCAGAGCGTTTAGGCCCGTGGCCCGTCTTCGTCATCCCCTCCGTGTCGATGTTGGCTCTAGCTATAGCGTATCCAGGGCTCACGCATACCGTGCGGCGGAACCGCATGCTCAGGGCTACGGCCTCGCTATTTTCCCTCGTCCACGTTTCGCTGCCGCCCCCTCGTGTATCGCTTAGTCGAACGTATCACTTCCATGGCCATCTCCGTGCAGCGAGACTAACGGAGTGGCACCGGCTCATGTACGTACAACTCCGTAGTGGGCGGGGCCGGCTGCGACACTGACCTCCTCATCGTACTCGAGCAGCGCAACTATACGAGTACGACGTTCGCGATGCAGCCAAGCAACGTTTCGTCTGAAGCTCCTCCATCGTCAATGCGATGTGAGTGCATGCGTCTGGCCAGATCCCTATCATCATCATGGGGCATGCCACGTCCCCCGGTACGCAAGCGCTTGCTTCGTTTTCGGGCTGCATTGTGCTCAACCAGTATATGTGACGCCCTCCCGCACAGGTTTTTCTTCCATCGCGCATCCTTGATTTCGCAAGAGCTCGCCACTCCGTTGGGATGCATTCCTCTCGCCGCGTCCCTTACAGAAACATCAGCCAGCGGCGTCGCAGCGCCAGGCTCAATAGGCAGGTCTCCCCTTCGTCATCATGCCTTGCCGTGAATAACGTCAGTGGTGCCCACAACAGTGCTCGAGACGCTAGCATCATGGACGACACCCGAAGCGGCCAGACGTCGTATTACAAGCGGGCCCGTCTCGACGACGGTCTCGGAACTCATCTTCAAACATCTGCTGAAGCCCAAGACGAGTTGCTTCGTATGATCGAGGAGGGTATCGGGCCGATGCCTTCGCTACTGTTTGAACTGCCGGATGCCGGCCTACCTCCCTTGCACCCACAAATCCCGGATGCACCCGCGCCGCCCGTCCTAGGCAACGACACGGCGACAGACGTGGAGGCAGCGCCTCACCCGCCGCCACTGTCCGATGCGTACCTTCGTGGTACCTTCACCGATGCATACAGCCCCTACTACTCCATCGCGCCAGATGGCCCGAGTGGCTTGCCGTCCCTTCCGTTAGAACTCGACACCTCTGCCATAGGCGCGTTCTCTCCTGCGGCCGCTCCCCTTCCACTTGGCATGTCAGAGCATCAGCCGTACGTTTTTGTGACCCTTCTATTCTCGGGGTGGGATTATAACATGCGTCTCCACAGGAGTTTGTACCGCGAGCATCCGGGGCTTGCAGATAACGCGCCGTACGCTCTGGATCCTCTCGCCTGGATGCCGCCCTCTGTTTGTCTTGACAGCAGGTCAGTGACAGACATCGGACGGATGACGGGATGACTGACCCACCGTTGCCGGGAACTCTCAGTGCCACCGGTTTCGAGTTTGACGATATCATCGACTACTCTGGAACCGCAGGGTCGCACGCAAGCCGAGAGATGCCACAAGACGCGGCTGCCGAGACCGCAGAAGATGCCATGGCGGAGGCGCCTCAAACGCTACCAGTCGACGTCTTACCAGGCGGATACGTCGGTATGCAGGATCCTGCTGAACAGGGATCGGATCAAGTGAGTCGTTGTCGGCTTCTAGACCGTCTCTTTTCTGATGGACACCGCTGTAGGATGATTCTCCTGGCTTTGCGCGAAAACTACTAGATCTAGCTCGAGACGTTGTCCACGGCATATGCGAGCGGTTGCTTGCGGATACGCATGACGCTGCCCCTGTGGGCACGAGCAGAACCAGTCCTCCCACTGGTCTGAACGAGGGCTCCCTGCCGCCACTCATGGCGACGACGGCCCCGGCGACGGCGTCGGCCCCGACGACGGTTACAAGTACCATCACGACCACGATTACGGTTACGATCGTCACCGATATCGGCGCTGCTGACGCCATAGGAAGTGGTCCCACGGCCACGACGACGACGACTACCGTCACGACTGCGACGACAGTCACTACCTCGGACATGGCTGATGTCGCGCAAGATGGTATGAGGATCGCAACCTAGACGCCTTGATGCGTGACGAGGCTCGAGCGACATATTCTGCTAGTCGAAATGTATACTTCACTCTGCAATCCTCTGTATTTGTATCTCGCATTCCCATATCGTATATTGTCTGCTCGACGTTGAGAGCGCTCAATTTGCGGCGGCCGCATGCGCTCATAGTGTCATTTGATTTTGAGGGACGAACACGAGAATTGGGCCTCAAGCTGGCCGCTGCGATTGACAGCTCTCGCGGCGGGGGAGGAAAGCGACTCGCACGACTCACTCGCCGCAGACAGCGCCGGGAAGTTGGATATGGGCAAGCGCCTGACGGTTCACTAGCACTGGCGGGCGCGGTCTGCGTTGACAGCCACTTCAACCAGTACACGACTCGCCCTCCATTTCCAAACGCGTATACAGCCTGGGGCGACATTGCAATGGGATGAACGTTGGTCATGGAAGCTTGGACACGCAGCCGTCGTACTGCTGCTGTAAATTGACCAGTCACCGTGTCTACATCGCTCGCCTCTCGTGCGTACATGCAAACTTCTTCATCACCGTCGATCGCGCTAGTGATACATATTTGGACAAACAACCATGCAGAGGAAATAACGCAGCCGTGTAGACTACACCACCGCCGGCAACTCGACAGGCAGACCTTGCGCGGCTGCAGTGGCGACAACCTCGCGGCACTTGCGGAGGTACCTGTCGAGCATCAGTCGGCGTATCTAATCATCAGAATGGCAGTAAAATGCCTACTTCTGGACGGCTCGAATGGCCAGCGCGCGCGCACCGACGTCGGTGACGAACACCCAGGTACCCGCACGCATGATGATCAGGTCTCCGTGCCACTCGATGGGTGAAAGCTTCCTGAGCGCTTTGTTGACAGGAAGGGCGGGGTCGTACTGCGCAGCAACGAGGAATCGCCGCGCCCCTGCCCCAGCCTCGAGATCCACCCAGGTTTCCTGTAAATTCCGGACTGGACCGAGGACGGCTTCCAGCGAGGGAAAGCGTGGGTGTGCCACTGACTCGTTTCGTGGAGTAATAGTAGGTACGTGAACGCCACGACCAACATGAGCCTCCGAGCTGAATAAAATCCCGCGGATAGACCTCAGAGAGCACTGGTGCGTGTCAGGTCACACTCTGAAGGCCAGATTACTCGGCGCATACTCACGTCCTTCGTATTGCAGGCTTTCCGAAGAGTAGGCATACCGACGACTGGAAGGTGGTTTGGCTGGATGTGCCGCCGGGGGTCACGGTGTGATCTTCCGAATAACCTGGTGCGTACGTGTCCGAGACCTTTTGTTTTTGTCCCCATAGCCTAGATGCCACCGGACCTGCGATAGTGACGTGTACCAATGCCACTGCTCGTAGCGCCGCCACGATGTACACAAAGGACTGTTCAATGCGGGTATAAGTGCCGCTTCCGTCTTCAATGGGTTGCGCCAACAGTTTCATTCCTCTGCATAGCTTCGACATGCATCCTACGTGTCCCGTGTGCGCCGTCGAGTATCCGCAGAACTCTGGTGCTCTCCCTAATAGACCGGTCTCCATACGATGTGGTACGTGTTGGTCTGGATATGTGGTCAAACTCATATTGATCAAAGACGGGCACCTTCGCAATCTAGGCCACGTCTTCTGTCAGACCTGTGTCAACACTCTGATCGCGCGCGATCAGTGCTGTCCCTATCGAGACTCCCTTTCCCTGATTGAAGCGGACGACGCCACACCTATATTCTTCAGTTCCGAGCCTGCTAATCCACCAACGTTGCGTACTAGGATCGACAGGTCTGTTGACGACCCTTGTCTGTGCGAAACAATCTACTGATCTACACCCCTGCAGGCGGCTGGCCGTTCTGTCGACGGAACAGCGACGTCTCGAACGAACCGTGAAATCCGTGGCCGCTCGAACCGATATCGTTGCCAAACACGTCCGCGTGCAGCACGCAAGCATTGCCAGGCACTTCGGGACCCTCGATCGTATCACAAGTGAAATACGTGAGCTTCAGAGAAAGGCGGGCACCGTGCGCACTGAATGCGTCCGAGAGTACGACGCAATTATTGCTCTTCGAGCGACGGTGAGCTTCTCTGTGCTGTCGGGAGGTTTGTCAGGATCTGACAAACTGCAGTCTGCTGCGCGCGTATCTTCTCTGAGCCATGAAGACGCGGCCCCGCAACCAGAGGAGCAACGTCGTCGGCAGAGGTCTCCGTCGACAGCAAATGCGGATGTTCCTTGCGCGGTAAGTTCATCACAGAGCAAGGGGAGCCCTGTTTCCTGATCGACGACGACTCGAACGCGCAGAAACGACGCAAGGCGTAGATCGCTGCGCAACGCTCTGTGTTGCCGTCTAGGAGAGATGACGCTCGGGCATCGGCGTCTGGAGGTGTACATAGCGCGGCGTCGTCAGGAAGTAGTGTATTCGGGCGCACTCGGACAGAGCACGGTCGAACCAACTCGAGCTTAGCTTATTTGAACTCGGTTGATTTGCTTTATATCGCTGGGTATCTGACTCAAGCGCTCCAACGCGACTCGCTGAATCTGATAAAATGTGAACCTTTGAAACGTTTGAACCTTGTGCTTGAAGCTTGAAGCTTGAGGCCTGAGGCCTGATCGTGAGGCCTTGATCACCTGAGCGCTAGATGTCGATGCGCACCTCCGCTCCGAGGGGCACCCCTGCACGCGACAGCACCGGTACCGATCTCAAGTACTCAAGTACTCAAGAGCATTCGCGCCGATGGGTCGCAGGACCCATCGAAAGCTGACGGGATCTTCCGGAAGACCTTACTAGAGAAGCCCTGAACACTCATGGACCCACATGTACCTGCGCGAGAGCGCAGATCCTGTCCCCTGAGTGCCTGTGTTCCATTGATTTCCTTGATTCTATGGGTTTCCTGAGTTTTTTGGGTTCGGTGCCACCGAAGACGTCAGTTTGTTTGGCACTGTTCGGCAAAGTCCGATCTTGTCTGGCTCTGCGTGCGTTGATCATTCCTCGAGCCCCACTGACTCATCTTGACAGCTTTGCGCACCATGCACATCGTCTGCGCGGTCTGTGAGGACAGACTTCGCGACAGCGACGAGTCTTCGTGGGTATATCGGTCGATTTGTGGTGAGGCTTCGCGACAAACCCTACTGGTAGCGCCACTCATGTCTCCGTACACAGGTCATCTCCTTTGCCGTTCGTGTCGGGAGTTTCTTGATAACGCCACTGGCCGGCAACAGCATTTATTGTGTGGAGATTGCAACTCAGCAATCTCCAAGGCCGATTGTCGTCGGGTCTATCTCAGTGCGTGTTTGGTTGCGGACGCATCGGATAACGAGTTCAACGGTGCTATTGAGAGGTGAGCCACTGACTCGTATTCTCACTCGCCTGACATGCCTATGGCTTTCCCCGCCCCGTAGGGATGCCAACGTCTCCGCAAAATTGCGAAGCATTACGGCCTCGCGACATCATCTGCAGGCCTGCGAGAGCAAGCACCAGCACATGAAGCAAGAATTGGACGATAACGTCCAGCTATCCAGTACACTTCATTCTCAGATCGAGAATCTTGTCCAAACGCGCTTGACCATCGCTGCGAGGCTATTTGCCCTCTCCACGAAGCGAGACAATCTCGTCGCGGAGCGAGGCGAACTGCATGAACAGCAGCATGGCACGGTAAGTTCTGCATGTTACAGATGCTCAAAGTGACTTAAGCGGCGTCGCAGGTTCCAGACTGATCAGTAAGGTCGGCGAGCCAACATTTGTTCAATACGCCGTCAATCGACTTGGTATTCTCTGTCCCACTGGAATGTCGTCACATCGCATGTGTCGTTTGTAGCTAGTATGTGGCGAATAATACCAGACTCCTCGCGCCTCTTTCACCGAAGTAAGATCGACCAAACCCATCTACATGCGTAGTACGGCCATAGGCCACAGCGCCACTCTGGGGGACTCGGAGCGACCGTGAAATATGTACTATCCATGAACTCAGTACTACCAGTAAACCCGGAAGCCCATGTACGCCTCGAACGCAGCTCTTAAGGTCTGTGCAGCAGCCTCGGCCTCAGCCACGAACTCGCTAATCCTCCGAAGGTGGCCGGCACCGCGGTCCGAGATCCTGAGCCCGCCCCGCTCCTCCAAGACAAACCAAAATGGACCAAAGTGCTTGCCACGTGGATGTAAGTAGACAATCTCCGCTCAGGAGTCAGGCTGAGGTGCTGCCGCTTTATCGTGCTTCGTCTTGAGTTCGCGCGACTGTTGCAATTGGTCTCGAGTCCACAACTTTTCCTTGCCACTGTACGTCCCCTCGGCCTATCAATCCCCCACTCGACGGAGCATATCGTTATTATGTCTGCATTCGAGAGGGAGGGTACGGCGATCCTCGCAACCTACGACGGGGCGACGTACGAACAAGCTGTGCTGCCCAAGGATTGGCAGGCAAGTTTGCCTCATCCCCACCGTTCACGGGAGCTTGTTCGCTAATGCTTTCCCAGCTCACATACGCCAATCGACGCAGATTCTCTGTCGACCAGCAGCCGGAGAGCCAAAGCCGAGACGCCCGTGAGTCCTGCAGCCTCTCGCTCGAACGTGTTGAATCCGTACCCTTCGTATGTCCGTAGCTCGTACGCCCGAAACGGCTTTCTTTCCGACGTCAACCAGCTCGCCTCGTGAAGGCGCAATGTTTCAATTTCCAGACGTCCACCACAACAGCTTCATGCCACCGGCGCACTTTCATCTCGACAACGTCTCCGAGTGTACTGAGCTGTTGACGCTGCAAGTGAACTCTGGTACGGTTCCTGTGATGATAGAAGCCGGTGAGTGCGCTACCTGTGCAGTTCTCAGTGGCACTAACATGAGTGGCCGGCGTGTTACCTGGGAAGACGAGGGTTACGGCCGCCCGTATGCAGCGGAATGGGAGAAGGCAGCAAATAACCAGCTGTTGGGGCCTGGCGGTAAGTGTCTAACACTTTCCTCTTTGATTCAAGCATGGTGACATGTCCGCGACGGTAGACATAAACGAAGCCCTCTCGAATCCCGGTCACTCAG